CGCCGAAACAAGCTGTGCGTCCACAACCTCACCTTTGACCCCCTTTTGGAGTAAGATGCGGAACACATCCTCCCGGCGCTTCAGATCAACGACCTGACTCGCTGCCAGGAACCCCTTGATAAGGGTTTGCTCCCCGACCTGACCACTTTGGCCTCTTAAAAGCATCTCCATCACATCCTTAGCTCCTGCTCCACAAGCCTCCACAATGGCTTGTCCATCGCGGTGATCAGCGCTTGCTCCGTAGTCGGAAAGAACCCTTCCAAGCTCAATATCGCCGTCTGAGGCAGCAGACAGCAGTGCATCAGAAACAATCTGCCCCTTTACCCCCTTAACGAGCAGCGCCTTGCATATGGCCACTCTTTTGGTCTTGTTTGTAACCAAGAGCGCATCCACCAACCCGTCCTGCAGTACTTGTTGCGAGTAAACCGTGGACGACTTGTCCAGCACCAGCTGTACAATCTCAGGGTTTTCCTTTTTGATGGCGGTGAGGAGAGCGTCGCCCCCAGAGGAATCCGCATGGGTAGCAAGGAGTGAAATAAGAGGTAGGTCGTTCGGGTGGGCATTGATTGCATAAACCAATGCCCGGTTGGCCTCGGCTCCTGGCGCTCCTGATTCTATCAGTTTCTGGGTGAACGTCAGTCTATCCATGGGGTCAAGAATATTGAGCGATTGTGGGAGGGCCGCGGCGAGTGATGTAGCATTGGGGTTGACGGTGAATAACAGGTCGACTATGGCAGAGTCGGCCGCCTTCACAGCGCACGAGAGAGCGGCCGCTTTATTGGAGTTTACATCCGCTCCGGCTGCGAGAAGTGAAGAGATGACGCCAAGTTGGCGCTTTTCTGGTGTTATCTTGAGAAGCGTCTGGACCTCTTTGACAAGTATGGCGTTCAGGATGTTCTTATCCCGTGTTCGGCGAAGAATGGAGTCAACCTTGGCCGCTTTTACTTGGTTTGTCGGCACCTCTGACAACATGGCCAGCCCTTGAAAGAGTGTGTCTGGACTGGGGCCACCATATTGTAGGACCAGTTCCAGCAATGATGGTTCAGGATCATTAATGGCTGCCTCATGTCAGAGACGTCAAAGAACACACAAAACGTATGACCACGTACCTAAAGTAACAGATGCTCCATGGTCGAAATTGGCATCTGCCCGTCCTTGTTCCAGGAGAAGTCTGGCCAGTTGCATATCCACGGGCTTGACGGCCAGAGCATGTACCAGTGCTTGCGATGTCTCACCACGACCAGCACTCGGAACAAGCAGGCTAAGCATGCGATATCGTGTCTCCCTATCCGACTCTTCCATAGCCTTCATGACGGCAGCAGCCATTGTTTGAGGTGCTGGCTTATTTGTGAGCAACCTTTCTAGAAGAGGGAGATCCCGAATAGCTATAGCCGACAAGACGCCAGCACCATCGTTGAAATTGATGTCGGCGTTGAATCTGAGAAGCATGCTTATAAAGTTTTCGTCACGGCGTGGGGGCTGTTCTTCGATCGCCTCTTGCAGAGCGACCGAAACACAAGGGCTCGACAGGCCCGCAGTTAGAAACTGTTCGGCGATCTGATATCGAATCGTCGGCTGAAGGGCTCGAACGAGAGGAAAGATATGGTCCAGAGTTTGTGTACTTGGCCTACCGGCCAACAGCTGTTTCACCATTTGCAACTGACCCATCTGGACCGCGATGCTCAAAGCCAGACCATTCCTATGATCAACTGACGCAACCGCGTGTCTAACAGCTACCAAACCATGCTTCCCGTTTCCTAAATTGTGACTGGAGGCTGGCTGCCCACCGGGAAACTGTGGGGTAAGTAACAGTTGGGCAGATTGAAGGTCGTTGGCCTTTACGGCATCGATAAGCACTTCGTGTAGACGGGGCCCGCTTGCCCCTTTTCGAAGCAGGAGACTGAGCATAGCATGCCGATCCTCGGGTGCAATAGTTTTCGGTATGCTATCGAGGCATTCCGAGGCATATGCTGGGCTAAGTGTAGACCTTTCGCTCAGTAATAACTGGGCCAAGCTAGTTCGTCCGGTGGACAAGGCGTGCCGCACAATGGCAGCCTCTTGGTGCTCGATTGAAGCTCCATAAGACACGAGTAAATCGACCATATCATAATACTCGTTGACAGAAGCTTGAGCAAGTGCCATCGCAATCGGTTCCCCTGAAGCACCAGCACAGAGGAGGGCCTCGGTGAAGGGAAGTCTGTCATTGGGACCAAGTGAGGGGTGTTCCACCAACTGTGCAAAGCTTTCCAGAACACCCTGGCCACCCTGTGTAGGTGGTTTTGTACCGGTAAGGATGGCAAGAGCGATATCGACCCTGCACTGGGAGATGGCCGTCTTGAGCGCTTCGGCTTTGTGGTAGTCCCCATCAGCTGTCGACCGGCTGAGCCTCATAACTGTATGGAAGCAGCCTTTACGTGTAGCGTCAACCATGGACATGGATATCCATTGTGATGATGGCCTTCCTTCCGATTGCAAGATCAAGCCGACTAGATCCGCATGGCCACCCATGATGCAGAGCTGCCTGAAGGCGTCCTGGGCATCTTGAGTTTGCGTGGAGTTGGCCCCTTGGTGAAGTAACATGGCCAGCATTTCTAGATCCCCAGATCGTATCGCAAGAGGAAGCGCCGCATCCAGGGTGAGGGGGTCGGCATACTGGACCAAGACAGCAACCATGTCGGTGTGCCGGTTTTGAACCGCCCTTTGCAGCACTCTGCTTCTTTCCAAGTTCTCCAAGCTTTTTCTCCGAGTGAGCAGGTTGGTCTTGTTTTTGATGGTTGACACATTGACATTTCCTCCCGCGTTCACCAGCTTGGCAATCAAGGCATCCGCAACGCCTGGTGCTCCTCGATTGGTGACCAGAGCGTCTAGAGCCTCGAATATTTCGTTGGGATCCCAGGTTCCTGAGGGCTTTTTGTTTGAGCTGAAAGCGCGTTTGATGCTTGCATTTTGAGAACTTTTGTTGCCGTCCGCAGAGGCGCTCAGTCTTTGCCGCTTCAATAACTCTTCTGCTTGAAAATCATCTTGTGGTGTTCGTCGTTGGGGAGGTCGCTGTTGAACTGTTACCGGTGGAATGGTTGGGTGGATACCCCAAGCGGCGGCGATCTGTTGGAGCCGTGCCCGACGACCACCGTCGTGGCTAAAGGGTGAAGTCATCGTCATAAACTGTCGAGCTCGGAAAGATCATGACCAGACAGATGTGTGTGTATATAGCTGGAAATTGTGTGTCGAAACGCGGATATGTTTCGTCTTCGGCAGAATTAGGTGCTGCTCCCGTCTTTCTGCTTGGGTTGTAAAACCTTGTTCACTGAGAAGTGATCATCACACCGCGGACAAAGAAGTCACCCTCGGAGGTGTTTTTGCTGGAGGTGTCAACGATGAACTCCCAAGATGCTGGTAAAGATCACCAAGCTGGAGAGAAACAGAAGATCCAGATGTAACGGTTTGTCGGCCAGTCTCGCGTCCAAACTGGACGGTTTGCGTGGCCAGCCTCGTGGTGGTGTACGTGGTTCTGTGGGCCCGTTGCCGCTACTCTGCGACGATCACAGCGCGCCAAGGCAGTTTTTGACGCGCTGCGGAACGAGCTTTCGGGGTTGGTTTGAAGGATGAATGAATGCGAGGAGATGGAAAAGACTAGAGAGTTGTACCAAGAGGATTAGACCATGGAAACTTGAAATGACGAGGCACTTTCGCATTTCTGGTTGAATATTCACGGCGTCTATTATTGGGTGCGCTGTGCAACTTGAGCTTGAGCCCCCTGTGAGACAGGTTACAGGGGAAGGAAGCTCACAGCTAGGCTTGGGGCTTGACTTTGCAATGCATAGGCACCCTCCGTACAAAATAGTTGGCACAGCAAGTAAGTTGACCTCATAATATACTGTCAACACTGCCTCAAAAGTAAATTGATAAGACTTTAAACTATCTTTCAAGGCCTTGTTAACAATCTTTAAAGATCTTTAAACTATCTTTAAAGGCTTATAACTATCTTTAAAGGCGTATTATCTATCTTTAAAGGCCTAACGATTATCTTTCGAGGTGTGGTTTCTAATATAATATGGGTTTAACCCACTTCTGAGTGCCCGTTATTTTGTGGTGAGAGTGATAGGTTGGCTTTGAAGCCGCTGTCGAAAGCACAGCCACTGAATTGGCCACCAAGCCGCAGCGTTTCGAGCGCTATGCAGCCCCACCAAGGACGCCAGTCCCTGCCAATCAAGATTTCAAAACGCGGGGCAGCTTCTTCTTTGACAATTTTATTCTTTTCTGCTATTCTTTCTGGTGCTGTCATGACGGAAGGGAAGTTATAGTCCGCCGCCGTCTGGTGTGGAAAAAAGCAAAGCGGGTTGAGCATGGAGTTTTGTCCGATGTAGCGGGAGGACGCATGCAAGCCCAACAGGTCTCACGAACAGCCAAGGCAGACAGACTTGAACACCGCACACTTTCTCTCAAACTCAATGCCTGAAGGACTGAGATTCGGTATATCCCGGCTCACGACGTTGGAGCACGACGTTGTTTCCAGAGCTCCTGTTCAACTAAATCCGACAACCGCTTACTGATGACATCATTAGTCATCCCCGGATCAACCTCCGACTCGGTCCTAGTCGTATGTGTAACATGATGTAGCATGAGGAGGGGAAGCTGGATATCGTGAAATTCCGAATGATATTCTTGTCATCGGCTTCAATGTCGGCGGTAAAAACGTAGGGGGAAGGATCTGATCATTTAAACGCAGTGAATTTCAAATTGATGCTTTCCCCGAAATCCTTCACCTTGTCAACTTTGTGAATAAATAACACCGGCCCCATCGACAGTCCGAGACACAGTTCATCCGGCTACGATAGTTCATCCCGAGTGTCTTACTCAGTCCGGTCCTTCCCCACACTGGACTACATACCTACCTCAGATATCCCATCTCCATGTGCTCATCCCAACAGCACCTTTGATAACGTCAGTGTTGCTATCACAAACCGCCGGTCCGAAGTAAACAAACACTCATACAAGTCAAAATGGCACCCATTCCCAAAACCATGTTCGGCGTTGTTATCTCTCGTCCAGGTGGCCCCGATGTCCTGGAATACAAGACCGATTTACCCGTCCCTTCTCTCGGTGAAGGCCAAATCCTCGTCCGCAACGAGTATGTTGGCGTCAACTACATCGACACGTATGCTCCCCACATGCTCCCCTCATTTAATCCCCTATCCTAACCAACACCCAGATACTTCCGTACCGGTCTCTACAAACCTCCCTCCCCCTCCTCCAACAGCAACCACCCCTCCACCAACGGCTCAAACGACACCCCCTCTCCCTACCCCCTGATCACAGGCAAAGAAGCCGCCGGCACCATCACCGCCTCCTCCCACCCCTCCTACCCCGTCGGCTCCCGCGTAGTCTACCTAGCAGACAACACATACGCCCAATACACCCTCCTAACCTTCCCCCTCACCCAAGCCACTATCCTCCCGGCCTCGCTCACCCCCGAAACCGCCTGCGCAGCCTACCTCCAAGGTCTCACCGCCCTAACTTTCGTCCGCGAAGCAGCAGGAATCACCCAGCAACTCGGAATCTCTGAAGGACCATGGACCCTCGTCCACGCAGCAGCAGGCGGGACAGGCTCCATGCTCGTCCAGATCCTCGCCGTCATGGGCGCCAAGATCATCGCCACCGCCGGCGGCAAGCAGAAGTGCGAATTGGCCAAGAAGTTGGGAGCAGGATGGGTGGTTGACTCTAGCCTCCCGCAGGAAGAAGTCATCCAGCAGGTCAAGGAAATCACCAACAACAAGGGCGTAGACGTGGTTTTTGACGGGGTGGGCAAGGCGACGTTTGGAACGGTAGACCTAGAAATCGTGGCGAGGAAGGGGACGATCATTGTGTTTGGGAATGCGGTAAGCCCCCCCCCCCCCCTTTTCTCGAGTTGCGTGGGAAAGCTGACAAGAGAAAAACAATTAAGTCTGGCGCTGTTGAACCGGTCGACCTCTTCCGCCTGATGCCCAAAAACATCAAGATTATGAGACCTTCCATGCCCGGATACATCACCACCCCAGAGGAAAAGGAGACATTTACCAGCGAGCTTTTTGACTTGCTCGTAACGGGCAAGATCCACGCCAATATCCACCAAGTTTATCCCCTCAAGAATGTTGCCCAGGCGCACATCGATCTGGAGAGCAGGAAGACCACGGGCAAGCTTCTCCTCAAAGTCGAATAGTACCTTGATTGGCGCTTCCATGGTCACGACATTTTGTTTTGTCGAAAATAAAACGAAATATCCATTCAAATAAACGAGAAAACGTCTTCTTTTGTGTCTAACCATTATCTCTGTAATAAAAGCCCTGAGAAGAATACATCGTTTGCAGTTCCCGTCTGCTGCCAGCCTGCTAGTCATAAACAATCGTAAACGCATCAATCTTTTCTTAGTTCTTGTGCTTGCTCGCCTTCAACGCATCTAGCAGCTCGGCCGGCGGGTCTTGTCTGTACCCCCTAGGGTTGTTCTCCACCCAGCGCCAGAGATCAGCGCAGGCATCTTCCAGCGTCAACTGTGTCTTCCAGTGCAGTTCTTCGTTTGCACGGGCAGGGTTGGCTGTCAGGTCAAGCACATCGCCCTGTCTCCTCCCAACGACCTCGTACGGCAGGTCCCGACCGACAACCTTGCTGAAGGCTTTGATCATCTCGAACACTGTGCTGCCACGGCCAGATCCCAGGTTCCAGGCGCGAACCCCAGGCTTGTGTTCGCGGAGGTAGTTGAGGGCAGCCAAATGACCAGAGGCGAGATCGAGGACGTGGATGTAATCGCGAATCGCGGTGCCATCTTTTGAAGCGTAGTCTGTTTCACAAGTGTTAGCCGACCATCTAGCAGGGGTATAACAGACTTGTAATGACCTACCATCACCGAACACCAACAGCTTCTCCCTCTCCCCCGTAGCGACCTTGCCCAGCAGAGGGAGCAAATTGTAGGGAACACCCTGCGGATCCTCACCCATTATACCACTGGGATGCGCGCCGCAGGGGTTGAAGTAACGCAGGAGCGCCCCGTTCCACTGCTCAAAGGGCTTGCCCGCCTTCTGGTTCTTCTGCCTCTGGGCATGGATTTGGTCGGTAATCACCTGCTCAATCATAACCTTGGTCCGGCCATAAGTATTGGTGGCTTCGATTGGGCAATGCTCAGGGATCGGGATCATGTTGGGAATGCGGGTGGCATCGCCGTAAACGGTAGCCGACGACGAGAAGACGATGTTGGTAACATTATGCTTCTCCATGGAGCGCAACAACGAGATGCTGCCGCCGACATTGGTTCGGTAGTAATCCAGAGGAATCTCGCCTGATTCGCCGACAGCCTAGGTGGGAGACAAGAGTTAGCCTGGCCCCATGATGATGTAGCAAGCGTTACACTGCGTTGCGCTGGCGGGGAAGAAGCGCATCTGTGGGTAAGCGCATGTCACGCAGCTGATCCGGAACTTGCCTTGAGAGCTGCAAAGTGAATGACACTGTCGATTTCTGGGTGCTTCGCAAACACTTCGTCGAGGGCGGTTTCGTTGGTCACGTCGACCTCGTAGAACAAGGGCCGCTTCCCACAGATCAGCTCAATGCGATCTACCGCCACCTTGGACGAGTTGTAAAGGTTGTCGACAATGACGACATTGTAGTCATTTTCGAGCAGTGCAAGGGTGGTGAAAGACCCAATGTAGCCGGTGCCACTGTAAGCCATCCATATCAGCGTCAGATGTGTTTCTTTTTTTTCTGGGGAATTTGGCGGGGATGCTCTTCGCGGCTGGCACGCCCATGCGGGGGAGTGGACAGCGATTGCGGAGAGGGGTCTCAGGGCCGCAGAGGTGAGAAACGGGCTTACCCAGTGACGAGAACGGTTCCCACGGCCATGATCTCGCGGGATTGGGTGTTGAAGTAGCGAGGGTCGGGTGTAAAACGAGGAATCAAACGAGCGAGAGGATGGGGCAGAAAGAATGAACAAAACAAGGTCGCGTTGGAGGAGCAGGTCGCAGGTTATTAAAATGAGAGGTGCCTGCTATGGATGTGGTCAGCACAAAGTCGCAAATCGAATCTCGCTAGCCCGCAGCCAACCGTGGGGCAACCGTCTCTCCACCTCCCACTTCGTGCTTGTGACGCCCGGGATGGAAGTCAAACAGCCAGGGGACCCCGCCTTGCAACACCTGTGTCGTCCCCTGCTCGCCCAGCTCACGGGCGCGAGTGAGGTCACTGGCAACATGTTAAGCTTCGTGGGGATGGGGCCACCATTGAGTGGCTTGGAGCTTGAAACAGTCTCGCTGCTTGACAGAAAACTCAAAATATCGAATCGAGCAATGGACAAGGCAACTGTGAAGATGACCGAAGAGGATCCCTTTCACGTGGAATTCAACCGCAGACAGCAAAGATCACCATGGAACCGTTGTACAGATGCGCAAGAGTGGCTCAAGTCGAACCCTGATTTTCAGCAAACATTTGAAGGAAGCGGTGGAGCTTCACAGGGGAATACGAAACGGATGGCGCATTGGGAGTAGATCCGACAATGGTAGTGCGTATGCAAGTGTGCGGCTTGTGTTCATACATGATGGGATGTCGTGCCAACTTCAGGTGCTTGTTCAAGGTATTAAATAAATATGCCCAAACCCTCAATTGAAAGATATTCCAATGGTAAGTGCTAGGTCAAGATTCTTAACAAGATGTGGCTGATCCGGAGAAGACATCTCCACGAAGTTGGAAAATGGGGGAGTGTGCGGATGCTGGGAAGGCACGCGGGAAGGTTTGGATGAGTTGCCTGCCGGGTAAATACGTGGGGGGTAAAGTAGATATCACTGCTGAGTCACCAACATTGCTGCTGCCCCACCAAACTTTCCACCAGCCACTAACACGTATCAGCAGCCACGAAAAACTGAGCCACATTGACCGAACAACAAGTTGGTGAAGAAGCACAGACCACATTGCTGAGAAGGGAAAAGGCTCAATTGCGCAGAGCTCCAGCTTCGAAAAACGCGCCGATCCACTGGCACGGCAGATGCTCTGCAGACCACCAGGAACGGCCACTGAAGAACAAAGCATGTACACCTCGACAGGCTCATGAAAGGGGAACAATCTACGAGGCCATAAAGAACCAGGCCGTTTTCAGCACAGAGACAAGAGCTTTATGTCCGCTTGCGATGCGTCGTGTAAAGTCAACAACAGTCTGCGCGTCTTCATCTCTCATTTTAGTCGCTTCAACGCCCCATCCTCGAGCTCTCTTCATCCCATCTCTGACCAACCATGATATGTACCGTCGCCGCGACTGAAAACTAGCGACCATCCGGCAAACCATTCACCTGCCTGTCTGGCGACTCCGGAACAATTGATTGGGATTGAGCAGGGAAGTGACGTGTCGGTTGCTGTTGGGCAATTGGTCGCAACGAAAAAGAAGGCGAGGCAAAGGCTGTTGCAGCCTTGGGATTCGGCATTGGGGCCAGACACGCTGTCACACTGTCACGCTGAACAATAAGGTAAATCTACACCTCACGAGTCACACCCGCAGCGTCGTCGGGCTTCAACGCAGCCTCTCTGTTATCGCCAATCTCTTTTGTTATTTGTTTGCTCCCTTCCTCTCACTTGTTCCTATTGTTGTAATTTTTTTTAATTTTTTTGCATAGTCTGCCAGTACTGAAGTCTCATGTTCAGCAACCCAGCTTGTTATTGTATATCTTGCTGAATGTTGGGGCTATCATTGTCATTTGCGATTGAATCTTCCCTACTTTCTTCTTTTCACTTCACACATCTGCTTTTCACCACTCACCATTAGCGATCATGACTGACGCCCTCAGCAGTCCAACAACATCGTTGCACATAGCATTGAATCTCGGCCAAAATCCAATATCGCGAGGAATAGGCTCTTCTAAATCGCTTCAGCATAGCGCCAATCCACCCTCGCTTTTCACCATGCCACCTAGACAACACCCAGGTCGTGGCGGCAATGTCCCTTCGCCCTCACCTCAGCAGCACGGACGAGCTGGCACGCCCTCCTCTGTACGGTCTTCCAGAAAACCCATTGATACGACGGCTGTCAGGATCGATATGCCAGTCAAGTACAGCACCTCATATGGCTCTGCAATGGCTACGTTTCCGGACAGAGTCAGGATCATGGGAGGAGGAAATGTACGCAAGGCAGTGCACGGAGTTATTGATACGGTCATCAAAGATAACGAGGCTGCCAATGCCCGCCTGTTAGCAAAGGAGAAGGAACTGGCATCTCGCACTAACACCTCATCGGCACACTCACAACAACCTGTGCAACCTCTCCCGCCTGTGCAACAGCCTCAGACTGTACGCAGGACACAGGTTCCGGGGAGAACGACGCTATCTCAACAGATTTCTCGCTCGCAATCGGAAGAGTCGGACCAACAGGGAGGGGACCGGGAAAATGACGGGCCCTCTCAGCAAACCCTCGTCGACTCACAGCAGGGCGCCACCACTTCGATGAACAGGGGCATGATATCTGACAACAGGTCGAGATCAGGCTCTGCAAGGTCGAGGTCGAAATCGCCACCCACTCAGAACCGGAAGAGATCTCACGATTCCGTTTCCCCCGAACTCCCCGATGTCACCAGCCCTGAATTGGATAGGTTGACCGCGCGAGTGGATGCTCTACGACAATCCAATCAAGCCGAAGCCGAAGAGCGTGCGGAAGCTCTCAAAGCTCAACATGCGGAACTCGAAAAGCAACGCCGCAAAGAAGAACGCGAAAAGAAACAGGCGGAGCTGCTAGAGAGAGCGATTGCTATTGACAAGGCTCGCCTAGCTGCACTGGCTGGAAATAACTCGGCGGCCGGTTCTCAAGTCGCGAATCCACATCAACAACAACCCCCTACAACTTCCAATCCGCTTCCTTTTCCTCCGAACTTCTCAGTACATTCACCTTCACTCGGTGCCCCAATTCGAATACCAGGTGGTGAGGTGCCTCAGCCACCTGGGTACTCGAACGCTCCAGAAACCACGGATGGTGCTTCTCGCAGCTGGCAGGAGGAAACCAATGTTGCTGTCGTCGACAGCGCAGCTCATGTCAGGGTCGGGTCACCAGCCGTCGGTCATGTAGCAGCCAAACCGCAACCAGGCTCATTGGAAGATGCGCTGGGAACGATGGGGCAAGCCAGCAGAACAATAGGTGTTAGGGGGGGTATGGCCGGTGCTAATCCTGGTGGTTTTACCATGGCGAACGTTAGTCGGCGTCCTGGTTGGCGTGCACGAGCGGGGGTGGATAGGGCGCCCTCAATCTCGAATCCTGCTGTACCTGCGGCCCGTGTCGGTACTGCTGGGAGGTCAGCAGTTGGCGGTGGAGGCCGGCCTAGGAGAGACCCAGATTCCTCCGATTCATCATCCAGCGACGAAGACGATAGAGCCGGAAACGCCGATCATGGAGGTCGATATACCGGTCCTCGAAACAATACTCACGGCAATCGGGCAGGCCGTTGGCCCACAGGAGGTGGAGGAGTCAATCGAAGTACTGTCGCGGCAGCCACTGCGTGGGTGGGCGATGTGCTGGGCAAGGGAGGCGATATCTTGAGCAGGATTTGGTGGCCAGCTGTGAAATGGTTTCTTGCGGCCTCCTTCGTTGTCGCCATTTGCTCTTTCTTGCTTGGTGCTGGAGGTCCGATACGTGGGATGATGCCGTCGTCTCCATACACGAAGGGTGGTTCGTTGCCGGACATGGCTGTGTTCACGGAGCAGCAGTACAACGATTTCAAAGCGTTTTGGGAAAAAAGAGCCACCGCCACCGAGTTGGCACTCAGGAGTGTCCAATCCACACTTCCGAAGGTGGTTCGCGTAACCAAAGACAGGGATGGCAATATCATTGTTGCCAAAGAGTTCTGGGAAGCCATCCTGGATCGCATGAAACACGAGCCCTCCATTCTCAGGCTTGAAAAGGGAAAAATCAGCGACGCTCACTGGGATGCTGTTCGGTCTCGAATCAAAAGCACGGGGCTGGATCACTCTTTCGAGGACTGGTTCGAGAAAAACAAGCACAGGATCACGAGCCTCCTCTCCGGGCACCCAATCACCAAGCCAGTCACCTCTGAGGCCGATACATATCAGGACACGGTCACGAGTCGCCAGTACGTTGAAAATCTCCAACAGCAAATAGCGATATCTCGGAAAAGCTTTGAAAGGGATTTGGAGGCTCTACGCAAGGAGCTTCACGGACTCATCGAAGAGCAAAAACATAAGACAGGTCTGAGTAAGAAAGAAATTCAGAAGCTGGTCGAGGAGATCGTTGGCAAGGAACTGGGCTCTTCCCCCATCAGCTCTGGCAAGCGAAGCCCAAGCGCCGCTATCATGGACATGTTGAACCGCCATGTCAATTGGTTTTCCTTTGGAAATGGTGCACAAATCGACAGCAGTCTTACTTCTCCGACCTACAGAATCGCGAGGCCGGCGATGGGCACTGTGGCGTGGTTCAGGGCCATGTCCAAGAAACCACAGTTTCTCCATGACAGCTTCCATGCTACCTCCCTCTGGACAGACAGCGGTCACTGCTGGTGTGCTGGTATCTATGCTGGCAAGAACAAGCAGAAGCTCCCGGCCGACATCGGCATCAGTATTGCCGGCCTGGTTATTCCCAAGTATGTTGTGGTCGAGAACATCAATCCGGAGGCCACAACCGACCCTGACTCCATGCCCAAGGACATTGAAATCTGGGCCAAATTTGAGAACAACGCCAAGAATTCGCAGATGCAGAAGTGGATGAACACTCAATTCCCTACTGCGGCTGCCAATCCCCGCAACGCCGGCCACCTTCGGGAGGAATTTGTCCAGATTGGCAAATTCGAATACGAGTATCGTCATGTGGATAACGGCGTCTTTATCCACAAGCTTTCTGACGACCTAGTTACACTTGATGCTGTCGTCGATACGGTGCTCATTAGGGCTGTCACGAACAATGGTAGCCCGGATCATACTTGCTTCTACAGGCTTCGGCTCTACGGGCAAGAGGTTGACGAGCACACTGGAAAGCACATCGGATCGAGCTCGTGGTGAGTTGTGTTTCGGTGATGGGGATGGAAGAGGAGGTGAAAGGGAAGCGACAAGTTGGCTGGCCAGGCGTTTTTTCTCCTTTGTGTTTCACCCAATGGTTTATCTATATATATTTTAGTATCACGCCGTTTCAGTATCATCTATGAGTGGTCAAGAATTTTACATCGAGCTGGGAGAATGGAAAAAGAGGGTGGTCGGTCGGATACCCTAGATTACACGATACCCCGTTCAGCATGTTGTTGACATGGCAGCTTCATTTTGGCTGCCAGGTTTTGGTTGGGTTTGCTTTCTTTGAGGGCTGAGAGCAAAGGAGCAACGGCGGGAGACATGATTTCAGACGGCGTTGATGGATGCTTTTGGTACTTGAGTTATGCACATCCAAAGAAAAACATGAATAATTCAAGATATATACCTTTAAACCTGCTGTTAATGTGATTGACAAGCTTACTGCGCCAACCCCAACCCTTCTGTCTATCAGTACTCTGTCTTGGCGCTTCTTTTGGCTGGTGGGTTGAAGTGGGGCAAGTGGCAGAATTCCTTCTCCGCCAAAATTTTCCCTGGCTTTCAGCAGAGCAAAGCAATTGCGCAAAGAAGTCGATCCTGGACTCCAGCTTCCATTTCGTTTTGACAATTTTCCACGAGCTGCGCGGGAGCACGACACAACGACAGCAGACACTACAATTCAACATGGCGCCTACTACTGGCGGCGCAAAGACTGTTGTCGCTCATCGACACAAAAAGAACTCCAAATCGGCGGATGCGACACCGAAAAAGCCAGAGACGAAGACACTGAAGAGAAAAAGAGGACAGGATGAGCTCGAGAAGCTGAAGGCTGCCATTCAGGAGCTTGTGGGTTACCCAAATGCATTTTATACACCCTCTTCCGGTACAAGTTTCTAATGGATGGATATCACAGGACCCAAAATCGCCAAACCTCACTAAATTCACCGACCTCCCTCTATGCGCCGCGACCGCGTCCGGCCTCCGTGCCTCCCACTTCGAGGTTCTGACAGACATCCAAAAAGCCGCCATTCCCCTCGCTCTCAAGGGCCATGATATCCTCGGCGCCGCCAAAACCGGCAGCGGCAAGACCCTCGCCTTCCTTGTCCCCGTCCTCGAGAAGCTCGTCCAAGCGCAGTGGACTGAATACGACGGCCTCGGCGCTCTCATCATCTCCCCCACACGCGAGCTCGCCGTTCAGATCTTCGAAGTGCTCCGCAAAATCGGTCGTAACCACGTCTTCTCGGCAGGCTTGGTCATCGGAGGCAAGTCGCTCAAGGAAGAAGCCGACAGACTCGGCAGGATGAACATCTTGGTGTGCACCCCCGGCCGTATGCTTCAACACCTCGATCAGACCGCTGGTTTCGACGTCAACAACCTCCAAATGCTGGTTCTCGACGAAGCAGACAGAATCATGGACATGGGGTTCCAGTCTGCAGTCGACGCGCTGGTCGAGCATCTCCCCAAAACAAGACAAACGATGTTGTTCTCGGCCACCCAGTCGAAACGTGTTTCCGACCTTGCGAGATTGAGTCTCAAGGACCCAGAGTATGTCTCGGCACACGAGGAAGCACCGACAGCCACCCCGACCAATCTGCAGCAGAGCTATATTGTCACACCCCTTCCCGAGAAGTTGGACACGCTCTGGGGCTTTATCCGAACGAATCTGAAGAGCAAAATGATTGTCTTTTTCTCGTCGGGGAAACAAGTACGGTTTGTGTATGAGAGCTTCAAGCGCATGCAGCCTGGTATCTCGCTGCTGCATTTGCACGGCCGGCAAAAGCAGGTTGGGAGAATGGAGATTACCCGAAAATTCACCTCTTCCAAGTACGCTTGTTTGTTCGCCACGGATGTTGTCGCGAGAGGAGTTGATTTTCCCGCTGTGGACTGGGTCGTGCAGGTAGACTGCCCTGAGGATGCGGACACGTACATTCACAGGGTGGGTAGAACAGCCAGATACGAGAGCAAGGGTCGGGCGGTGCTGTTCTTGGATCCGAGTGAAGAGAAGGGGTTTCTGTCCAGGCTCGAACAAAAAAAGATTCCGATCACAAAGGTCAATGTTCGGGAGGGAAAGAAGACGAGCATCAAGGGAGAGCTGCAATCTCAGTGCTTCCAGTCGGCGGACTTGAAGTACCTCGGACAAAAGGCGTTTATCACATATGTGAGATCGATTTACGTGCAAAAGGATAAGGATGTGTTCAAATTCAGCAAGATGGATCTGGATGGGTATGCGGCCAGTCTGGGATTGCCGGGTACGCCACAGGTGAAATTCCAAAAGGGGGCGGAGGAGATGAGACGGGCGAATAAGCAGGCCAGCAGGATGGCGTTTGATGTTGGGTCGGACGACGACAGCAGCGACTATGACGCCGAGGGCAAGCCGAAGAAGAAGGAGGTCAAGACCAAGTACCAGAAGATGGCGGAGAGGCAGAACCAGGATGTGCTGTCTAGTCATTACCGGAAGCTGGTTGACGAGGGTGCGGAGGACGACGACGAGGACGATGGGTTCTTGTCGGTCAAGAGAGTGTTGGGCGATAAGGAGCTGGATGAAACTGCTGAAGGAATCAACGGGAAGGAGATTGCGGGCGCAAAGGTGGTCAAGATTGGTGATCAGGAGATCGTTATCGACTCGAAGCGGGCGGAGAAGAAGCTCATGTCCAAGGCCAAGGTGGCCAAGATGATGGGCAAGGGGCAGAAGCTCATTTTCGACGAGGAGGGCAATGCCCAGCCATTGTATGTCTTGCAGGGTCTGGAAGACTTCCAAAAGGAGGGAGATGCGAAGGAGCTCAGGCAAAAGTTCGTCGAGGCCGAAGGGGAGAGGGTCAAGGAGGCGGATGTGGAAGACAAGGAGTTGGCTAGGAAGAGGAGAAAGGAGAAGAGGGATCGGGCCAAAGCTAGAGAGAGAGGTGAGGAGGTGGAGAGGGAGAGAGGTCCGATTACTCAGCTTGATAGCGGGGATGAGATGGATGAGGACCCGTTGGCTTTGCTCAGGAGTCTTCCTATTGCCGGTGGCGGTGGTGAGCAGTCTGAGGAGGATGAGCCACCGAAGAAGAAGACAAAGAAGTGGTTCCAGAACGACTCTGACGTGGAAGACCAGCCCGAACGGAAAAAGAAGGCCTCCAGTGGTAAAAAGGTCATCGAAATGGGCTACGAGCCGGATAACTTGCAGGACTTGGAAGCCCTGGCTGCCGGTCTTTTGGAGGACTAGTTTTGGTCTGTTTTTGCGGTCAAGGGGTAGTAATGATAATGGATTTTGTCTGTTTAGCGACAATGAAAATTCTGTGTTATGTGTTACTTTACGATTTGTATGCCTATAATAGAGATCAACTATGCCTAGTATGATAGTTTAGACGCGTACAAGATATAGTAAGAGGCGTTCTTAAAGATACACAAGGCCTTCCTGGATAGTATATAGGGCCTTGTTAGATAATGTGAAGGCCTTATTACATAGCGTAGAAGGCTTGAAAGATAGTGGCAGGGTCCTATTTGGGCATTGAAACGTCTCTTGGGGGAGTAAAAACGTACAGCTCGGGAATAGAAGGGTGTGTATTGGGACAAGTAAGGCTGTCATGCAGGATATTAGCACCCTTTCAAAGATAAACATGCATTATTTTCACCTTGAAAGATATTTCTGGGATTCGAAGGAGTATGTAGGTACTGATCCGGACCAGAAGAGTACTACTTTGCATTCGAGCTATTTGATCTGGTCATGAAATGACACCTCCATGTCACTGGAAGAGCATCGCTTGCCGAGGTTCAGAACGCAGTAATTTTGTCGATCCGTAGCAAGTCTTGATACCTACAATAGCACTATTGTCTTCGATCTCGCCGTTCCATGTCATGTTTTCTTGTCTGCTCTTCTGTTTACTGAATGTCAGTTCTGAGTTTAGGTATTAGACATTTTCAGCACCCATCTGCCCGTCCCGCTCTAAGGACCGAGAGGCCGAAGTTCGGCGGGCCCAACAAGAGCGTCACGCTCTGAAGAAATAGTCACGCTGACTGAAAACCCTGTCATTGTAGCAGCTCGGCATGCATTATCAGATCCGAAAGGCAGGCACCGGGGCCTAATGCTTGGGAGCTAGCTGACCTGCGGAGAGCAAGACCGATTGTCGTTTCTCCACGAGTGTGGTTATACCGTTATTCCTGGAAGCAAGAGCCGGAAAACCCGCATAACAAAAGTCCGGCACCGCTGACTAAGAGGCAAGCGGTGAGAATTACTTGCGGAAAAGCCCGAACAAGTCCACCAGGGCGTCGAGAGCCCAGACCATTGTGGATAACTGATTGATTGATAAGATGTTGAGCTTTTTTTTATCAGATCGAAGCTCATTCATCCATTGGGTCGAGCGATCAAAAGCGGGTCCAAGGCCAAGCTAGCGGGACGATTGTGGATTTGATGTGGATCTCATGCATTGTTGTCTCTCCATCGGAGGGAGCTTGTTGCCAAAATCGCACATCAGATGGTCTGAACAGATCTCGCGATGTCACGTCGTTGACATCGAGCTTTTGCCCGCGCGAGTCTTGTTTTCGAATTGTGGCCTCGCGTTGGACGTTATTCCATGTTTTATTGGTGAGTGAACGTCACATCTAGCACACGAGCTCTCTGACTGACTTCACTCAGGCGGCGGCGATCAAATACCATCAATAAACAGACTTCTAGGCTTTGATGCCAAGGACTGGCTCTGTCAGGAACGCACATTGCGAAGTCGAGCGTCTGGGTAGTTCCCCGCCCATGGTGGAGAGGTAATGGGGACAGTGACATGGTTCTACTGAACCGTCAGCTTCGGAGTTTTGGGCCTGGCATCTGCCTCCATGCGAATGCGCCTTCGGAGACGGCTCGGGTTGTGGTGGATAATGAGAAGATACGACCGTAGGGATATATAAGCAGCATCCCAACTCGCTATCCTGGGGTTTGTGATCATTCTCCTCACCACCGCTTCCCTCCTCCATCTCTTTTCAGACTACAGCTTCTCCTCCAGCTTAGCCAGCTTCCATATCCTCACGATGAAGGCCGTCGTAATTCTCGCTTTTGCCACCCTTGGCCTAGCCGGTGCCGTTGGAAAGGGACACGGAGGCTCCGGAGGTGGTCGGGGAGGCCCTCCCGGCAAAGGCCATGGGAGACCTCACCCTCCCAAGCCTACACCCAAAGTCTGCAACCCGATGGACAGCTGTAACCGCGAGATCCTCGGTCTTGGTCGCAAGCCCGTCGCCCTTGAGACCCGCAGCGCCGACTGCGCTGAGTACCTGAAGGTCACCGTCACTGGCGCTCAGCGCACCTGGACTGAGACCATCTATACTACCTCCGGCCAGATCGCAACTACCCCTGCCCCGGCTCCCGTTGTCACCGCCGCCCCCAAGCCTGTCCCTGCCTACGCTGACGAGTGCCGTCGTGATGATGACTACGCCTCCGCCTGCGGCTGCCTCAGCGTCAACGTCACCACCACCACAGTCCGCGCCGCGCCCGCGTACGAATATCACTTCGGTCCTGCCGAGAACTGTGATGAGATCGCCGTCCGCGAGATTCCCGAGTGTGCTCACGAGTGCTTCAACACCCTCACCCCGGCGTGGGGCTGCACCGGCATCAGAGATATGGAGTGCCAGTGCGGTGTCAACTTCCAACCTATTGCTATGGCCATGGGCGAGTGTGTTCTTGAGCGCTGCACCCAACAGGAGTACAATGCTGTTTACCCTGCTGGCCTCAACGGTAAGTCTCGAACATGTCCTGGCCCCTGTTACTATCTAAAAATCTTAACTGACATGGGATTATAGCCTGCCGCTGCGCTGCTGCCTCTGCCAACCTCCCCCAGCCTACCATCATTCTTTAAATTGGGCTACGAGACTAGAGGTTTCAAGGATGTGGTCCGTTCAGGTTAGCTAAAATGTTTGTTCAATCGGGCTTTGACCAAAGTGCACCTTGCATATAATATCAACACCATGACCATGATATCTTGCCCCTTTTCAGGTGGAGCAAGCTGATCCCCAATTCTGCCTTTCGCTTTTAATTGACACAAGCACATGATACATGTCAGTCCTTAGAGGTACTGTCATTAGCCTTGTATGGTGCCTCCGATTTTCTGATTCTGGCCTCAAATGCACTTTCTGCTGTACATAGGTACCTTCCCATTCTCTTTGAAATGATTGGAAAAGTGGGACGACCAGGCCACCTAAATGTTATCACACACAAGTGCAAGTCTCAAGCGCTCTCACTGCACGAGATTGGCAGCTCTGTTATCTGACCGACCTGTTTCTAGGCCAAGGAATTTGCATTTGTGAAAGCTGAGTAGTTGAGTTATTCGGTGTACGCCTGCGCCAACCTAACGACCTCTGGGTCGCATACGGCACAGGAAGGTAAGAGCTCATCCATGGCAAATGACTGGATAGCAAACTGAGGCTGGGCCGCATATCGAATATGAAAATTGAGCCCGCCGAAAATCATCATTTCTTTGAGGGAAAGTCATCGGGTCCAGGCTTACATGTGCAAATATGTCCACGGACGTACAGTGGTAATTACCTATATAACTCTCCTTCCAACAAAAACCATTGCCCTAGACTACGCTTTGTTACCGGTGTCCGACTTCATCACGCCTTCCTGGTTCATTGAAAGCCATGCCAAACCAACAACAACAAATAGGCGAGTCGCACGCCGCCACAGCTCACGAATCGCCGGAAGCTTCTTTATCCAATACGCGAGAGACTCATTTGAACCAGCCAGTCTCCATCGACAATCCATCGACCAATTTGACAAATCTTCAAGGCCATCCTAAGTGTGAATATGTTACTGCGGAGACTGGCACACTCTACGCTAACACTTCTTGTACTTTTTGCGCACCCCCAAGCCTAAACCAAGAAGAACCATGTGGCAATCCGTGAGACACAACATCAGACGATTACCTCTCCTCCCCAATCGCAGCCAATGCAACCTGATGGGGTGACCACCGATAGCTTTCACTTAGGGTCTGTGATTCCAGATTCAGCCGCCATCAAAAGTCAGCTACTTTCATCTGGATCCAATTCAACTGCAGACAGCACTCAACTCAGCTCCGATTTGCCCCATCCCAACAACAGTAACCCACAGACACTTTCTGTCGGGCAAACCTCGGTCCCAGACAGCCTTCAAACACACACACTTAAGCCTGTCTGGAGAATCTGGGGCTTCGAGGTGCTGTCCATCAGTGCTAGTTATCTCATATTTGTGGGTATGTGCTGAAAGGCTGATTTGTCACCCTTATCAATGGCTCAGTCGGTACTAACCAGATATACCAACAGCCATTGTGGTTGTGCTCGCCAGCTATAGCGAAAAGCAGCTACCAAATTGGCCTCTCAAGATATCTTTGAACTCGATACTTGCTTTTTTGACCACCCTGGCAAAGGCAGCCTTCATGTGGCCAGCTTCCAATGCCATCAGCCAAGCTCAATGGAGCTGGTTTCTTCAGGACCGGCCGTTGTACGACTTCCATCTTATTGACCAGGCAAGCAGGGGATCATGGGGAGCACTCACTCTACTGTGGCGAATCCGGCACAGACACTTTGTCACCCTTGCAGCATTCCTGAGCATCATATGCGTCCTCACCTCTCCGTTGACACAGTTGGCCATCGACTACCCTTCAAGATACGTTCCCTCACCGGGCGAAGATGGGGTTCAAGTTTCAGTCATCGAGATGTTGAAAGTCTCGGTTCATGAGACTCTAGTTCGGGCAACTAACAAGGCACTCAATGAACTCCCGTGGCCCGTGGAAGACTACAAGTACAGCCTGATAACCCCTAATGAACCTGTCTGCCCAACGGGTAATTGTACCTTTGATGAAATTCATTCATTGGGAATCTGTGTAGACTTCGCAGATATCTCTTCCCATCTGAGGATTCGAACGGAGGACAACCTTCAGGCTTCCACCAGTGGTGACCACAACTACTGGAAACCAGAGCATTGCATTCTCGGGCAATAAGAATCTTATGGAGACAAAAGTAGCGTCTTTGGTACTGATCCGCACAGTTCCGGTGATTGAAACGCAGGGAGAATGGGAGTGGAAGGAGGTTGCCGAGGAATCCAACTACGCGGAGATTCTCAGCTCGATCCAGAAGGTTGGCTACGAGGCTATCGAAGTCCTCTTCCATCCTCTATGTTCAGTCATATGATATCCGCGTAGACAAAGGCAAACAAACCACCACCGTAGCGAACTCTACATCGACACCGACTGAATCTAGCTCCGGATTCTTCATGGACTTCACATGCGCCGACGTTCCAGGAGATCAACTAATATGAGACCAAGCACAAGAGGATAGGTTCGACCGATACAACAATACAATCTATCTGGAGGGTCCCATTAACCCCTCAGCAGTCCCGGGACTTGAAAACTACGGGGCCACATACGAGACGATCCAGGTCATTGGAACAGAGATGAAAGCGCTTCTCATGACTTATGCTCAGGAGCGTCCTGTGCAATCAGAAGAGCGTCCGGAAGACATTTACCTGGATCTGTTGTTTGATAGTATTTCCCGGCCGCTCTGGACAAGCATCTTTCTTGAGCCCGAAAATCTGCTTGATCCTGGGCGGGCGACAGATCGCATCAAGAAGATCTTCATGAACTTTGCTATTGGTCTGTCACGTGGGTAATTTTTCTCGCTGCTCTTCAACAAAAGTTATTCCGTCTGGTCCCCGTGCTGATTGTAAGCTATAGACTACGAGAAAACAGACCCAAATTCCAAGTAGCAAGCGATATTGCCAACATCACCGGTACAGCTTGGATTGAAGAATCCTATGTTAGCATCATCTGGGGTTGGCTTACCTTCCTGGCTGTCGAATTGGTAATTGCCACCGTCTTCCTCGTCATCACAATTGTCTTTCAAGTCAAGATGCGTGCCAGACTGGCAGCCGAGGGCAGAAGCGACATCTCGGTGGTCGAGGAATACAAGGACTCGTATCTGGCTCCATTGCTTGCGCTCAGCCAAGAGTCTCGGTCTGCGGCAGGTGGCGGGCTTCAACCGGTGGATGGGATGAAGGGGACTGCAAAGAGGGTTCTTCTCAGACTTGAGGGTAGCCAAGTTGTTCTATCTGAGATGTCTGAGGCCCTGTGATGTATCTCTCATGTATTCCAGTTTCTTGGGTAAATCCGGCGTGCACACCGTCTGAATCGTTAGGTACTTTGCAGGTGGCATTAGGAAATGCCAAAGAGGAATAATTTGGAGGGCATAATTTGGGGTTCGCATAATTTGGTAGAGCGGAACGTCTCGCACAACTTTGAAATTCACAAGGTTCCCAGGCGGACAACCGCAGGCTCAGAGACCGGATTTGGGTTTTTTTCAGGGCTTCAGAGTATATTTCACCAACTTCATTCAGGCTTCCATTCCAAAGAACGCAAATTTCATCAAGTTTAATAGAGCTGAGCCAGCCACGACCACCATGATGGATGACATGTCACAGAAGGCGCGTTGAGAAGATTTTCAGCAGAGTCGTGCCTGAAACCTTGTCTGGTCGCTCTCCTTCCATAAATTGCGTGCCTTCCTCTACGAAGCAGCATTTTCTGCATCCCCCCATCTCTTCCATTGGCGCAATCGTGTATCTATCGCCGCCGTCAAAATGCCTTATAACTTACGCCAAAATTCAAAGCCAGTTGTCAACATGAGTCCAATCGAGGTCGAAGACAATACGATGACTCTTGTGGAGGAGTTGAAGACCGTGATGGACACCAGTCAGTATTTTTGCATGCGGCGGCTCGCTTCCCATTCTACACCCGGACATCAAACCCTCCGACAGCGACAAGGCTGTACATCTTGACCCCATCGCTCTCCATTGGGATTCTCGAGACTGCTCTATCTACCCTTGCATCCCGCTCTAAGATTACCTTTCCAGAAGGTCCTCATGGGAAGCAAGATGAGCTCTTACGCGCCCTCGTCGCCGATATGCTCCCTGCAACCTTTGGCAAGGCCGGAAGGGAGGTATATGATGAGAAATATCGCAAGGCGCTGAAGCGTCGACCCTACCCAGTTCTCGACCAATTTCTGCCCTTACCATGTCGGCATCATTGACACGATATCCAAGCTTCTTTCTCCTGGCATCGGTCATCACACAATCAAAGCAGAGCTCTACAAACTCAATGTGTATGATGGACCATCAGGCCACCTCAAGGCACATGTCGACACCCCGAGATCTCCTTCTCAGTTTGGGTCTTTAGTACTGTGCCTACCTGCTGAGCACTCGGGGGGGGGGGGGGGGGGGAAGAGCTTGAGGTACGGCACAGGGGTGAGACGATGAAGTTCGATTGCTCAACCAAGAACTCCAAAAGCAACATGGTTCAATGGGCCACGTTCTACAGCGATTGCGAACACGAGGTCTTCCTGTCTCAAAGGGATACCGACTTACATTGACGTGCAATCTGTACGCCGAACGCATTTCCGAAGCTAAACTGGCCAGGTCCATGGAAGTCGAGCTTCCTCTGATGAAGTATGCACGAAACATAATAAACGACAAGACTTTCATGCCTAAAGGTTGGTGCTATCTGCAACTCCCTGCTTCACTCACATTGGCTAACACATCCTTATGGTTAGGCGGTTACCTTGGCTTCTACACCTCGCACGCATATTCGCACGCATCGGACACCTTTTCCGTCTCGGCCATCAAAGGCATTGACCGAGCGATCTGGCAAGGTTTCCTGTCCCTGGGCTACCACGTCGACCTACGCCCTGTTCTCGTCACTGAGAGGTACGAGGACGACTCGTACAGATATGTGATGGGAAAGTACTTTCCGGCGGAAACCTACCAGAATTGGCAAGTTGATGACGAAACTCATCTTAAACGTTTGATTAAGAGCTGGGGCATCAGCCGTGTCAAGTTCAAAGAGGTTGTGTGGATGAATGAGAGCCACGACGAGCACAAACAGCGACAGCTGATGTACATGGTGGTGAGTGCTTTCGAGGCTCTGGTTTCTCAGTATCCCATAAAACATAAAGCTAACGGTATGCCATGAACAGTACGGAAACGAAGCACCAATCCACTCCGACTACTCATACTGCACCATCATCGTCCATGTGCCCGAGTGGGATAATCAGCTTGGCGCAAGGACAAAATTGACTTCAGATCCGGACAACGAGTCTGAGTATGTCTCTAGCCTGGATATTGCAGATATAGATAGGGAGGAGGCCATGGCAATGGATGAGTCTGAGGAAGAAGAGGAAGATGAGTCTGGCTCCGAATATGGGGGTCAAATTCACGCGTGCTTTCTGCAACCTGAGATAGAAGGGATGTCTCCAGAGAACCTTTGGGCATACGAGGTCGTAAAAGCAAGATTGGTGAACTGAATTACAGTCGAGTAATGAAAGTAAACCGATAACTGCAGCTTCTTACAAGTAATCTAGATTCCATTCATTTGCTGTCGAGTTCTTAGGAGGCGTGGTGGCAGAGTGGTCTAATGCGCAAGACTAGAAATCTTGTTCCTTCGGGAGCGTCTGTTCGAATCAGGCCCACGTCGAGTTTCTTTTATACCTTTTTACACCTCTCCACCTTCTTTGAATTTTGGGCGCTTCTTTCCACTCCACAATTCTTTTGTTGAATCTGGGATCCGTTGTTTTAAGCCCCATCGATGTCCGCAAAATTTCTAACTGTGCAAACAAACCACAGTTGATTACCAACTTGCAGCTTTCACACCATACATCTGCTTTTCTTTTTACGCTCAATTCTACATCCATTTCACTACTTTTTTCTTTTATTTTTTTTATTTAATTCTTTTTTCAATTCTTTTTATTTTTTTCTTATTTAGCTACAAACCAGTAACTCTGCACCACAATTCGTTCCCAATCTACTCAATTTACATCTTTTCCATCTCTTTCAGCCACACTCCACCCTCTTTTAGCGTCTCCAAATACTGCCTCCGAGCCTTCACCCTCATCTCCTCATACCGGCTCCTGATCTCCTTTTCCTTGCGGCACATCTCCTCCAAGACAGGCCGGTACTCAATCTCGGCCTGGAGCCAGTCCCACGTCGCCGGGCTCGGGACCTCCCTCTCAAAGGCGACTTGAGACAATGGACCATCCCCGCAGAAGCGCTCCAACAAGCGGGCGAGCAACCCCTTCGGTGACTGACCGTGGTTGAGACGGTAGAGACGGTCGGCTTCCTCGGCGGCGAGGTACGCTTTCTCGTAAGCGTCGAAACGCTCGACCATGACGCGGAAGGGGGGACGAGGAGGGGGAAGGGCGGCGAGCTCCTTTGCGAGGGAGGCCTCGAGTTGAGCGCGGAGGGTGTAGAAGCGCAGGGCTAGGGCGGCTCTAGCTTTTGGGGAGAGCGGGGTTGGTTCCAGGTTAGGGGTGGGAGCAGAAGCGGTGGTGGTTACCGGCGTGGGAACAGGAGCAGTGGCAAGCGCCTCATCACGCACAACGGAGGAACCGGGAGATGGGGGTGAGGCTGTGGAGGGGGCAGGTTGCGTTTGCGCTTGTACGCGGTCGGGTGTAGGGGAGCGAACGGGTGCAGACGGAAAGACGAGCGGGAGCGAAGTGACCTCCTCGACATTCAGCTGTGCTTTGGACCCGATACTGGGCGTCTCTGCTTCCGTCGCTCGCTCGACGAGTTGGGAATGCACCGTCCCTGTGTCCATCATGGCCTCGATCCTTTCTTGCACGGCAGCTTCTGCCTCTGCCTCTGCCTCTGCCTCCGCCTCCGCTTCGACGTCGCTGTTTGAACCGACTGATCGCTCCGAGTCGCTGTCGGACCAACTCCAGTGCTCCGAGTCACTGTCCGAGTAGTGTTTGGACGCCCAGTCGCCCGTCTCTCTGGTCTGAGCGTCTTCCCAGTCTGACGACTCCGAAGAGGTTGAGTGGGTTCCTGGGCGGCGAACCATGTTTGGAGACTGTTGTACGAGATATTCGTCGGTTGGGTTGTGCTGAATCGGTGGAAAGACTGACCAAGTCAGATATGGTTCACCAGGAGAAATGCTCGAGACAGTTGAAGGAATTGGGGGAGGGTTCAGCAACCTTATACTCGTTTCGGTCAGGGTTTGATTCCAAGAGCCACTGGTCAACGTCAAACTATGCAGGGCTTCCGTGTGGGTAACTCAGTTTTATTTCTCTTTTGCTTTTTTAAGGTCTGGTCACCCGCCGTATTAGGTGGGTAGTGGCTTGACTTATCAACCCGTCAACCTGAAGCCAAAGCGGGAAGATACCATCAACAAGAAAGGCTAGGCGAGAAACCCCGATGCTCAAGCGAGAGATGGTAAATCCGGGCCATGCTGCAGTCTAAACAAAAACACAAGTTACTGCGACACGGGAATTGGGAATGAGGTTCGGTGGTGGATGAGGACCGTCAAGGAGTGGATTTTAACCCTGTTTCCTGCTAACGTTGTGCGCAGTGGGGAAATGGCTTTTTCCGGCAAGGTGAGAAGCATCCAACGCCTGGGCAGCCACCGACCTTTGTCATTTTTTTCTGGGTGTTGCTGAGATAAAGCTGCCCTACTTTCGACTACACAGTGAGAAGACGGGCCAGCAAACTGTGTGTTGATAACCCATATCACTCTTTTTGGTTTCACAGTTTTGAAAATTTCTCGTCTTTTTCACCCAACTCACTCGTCATACCCACCCTGTTCCGTTCGCCGACATCGATGAGAGCCTTCACAACACCACCACCTTCGGAGTTGAAACAGTACCTGGCTGGCTGGCTGATTCAAAGCACAAAGAAGCTGCGGATTCCTGCAAATATCCTGGTACCTGTGGTCCTAGCAGCACTCCGATGGGACAGCCTGCCCTCGTAAGCATCTTTGAGCAAAGCGGGCATGGACAAACAGTAATCCTGCTCATCCGAGCGCTGCGTATTCGACAAGGTTGGTGGCTGTTTTCCTCTGGTCCCCGCAGCGTTCAGACTAAGGCGTGAAAACGATGGCGGGTCGTTTGTGAGCCGTCGTGTACACAGTAAACGGACATCTCAAGTTATTATAAATACCGATCCATGGTCTCTATTTTGTACGGTCTTTCATTTCTTGGCGCAGTTCATGTAGTTATCAATGTTATTAATTCATCAAAATTACCCATTTCGAATTTTTTTACCAGCTATATCTATCAGTCATCACATCATTTCATCAGTTCCGATCTTGATCATCAAGTACATGAAAACACGAGCTCATGCCTCCCGCCTTACACCTCGGCAAACCACTCGCTGTTGGGAGCAGGGGCATAGATGGCACTCCTCAAAGGAGCCTCAAACAAATTCCGGATCTCATCAAGAGTGTAACCGGCGTTAATGGCGAGCTGAAGCATGATTCTGGCCTGAGGGCCCTGGAGGTAGCTAGCGTAGAAGCTGTCGGGGCAAGAGAATCAGTAACTGTCATCAAACATAAAATACCAGTCTTTTGACAGGAGGAAACTCACACAGGACCCTTCTCAATACCGGGCATACCAGTGCCGGTCACGGAACGGGTGACAGTCACGACAGGGATGCCCTGCTTGTAGAGCTCGGCGGCAGCCTCGCGGGCGGAGGGGGAGAGAGAAGCGGCGCCAGAGCCCATGTGAACGATACCCCTGTTTTATTTCCAGTCAGTTCTGTTGTTTTCAACGATTCTCAACAGGCAGAAAGGCACTTACTTGGCACCATTGGCAACAGCCGCGTACATAAGCGAGGCGTCGAAGCCCTCTATCCAAACTATTAGCACCTTCGAAACAAGCTGGTGACAGAAGGAAAAACTTACGGTGACCATAGAGGACGACAACGGCAGGAAGCTCAGTGGTGTTCGTCACGTCAAAGTGTGGGCGGCCGGTGGGATAGCTTGGTCCGCTGAAGTAGAAGTACGGTTGACCTCCGAGGAAAGCACCGACGTTGCCCTGCTCGATCGACCTGAAGGTGTCGGGGGTGTTGGCGTTGGACTTGGTGGAATAGTAGATGGAGGTGATACGATCGTTGAAGGCGATCAAACCACCCCTGTCCCTCGCATCGGGGGAAACGGCTGTGGCGACAGCCTGGAAGAAGTTGGAGCGGCCATCGGGGGAGATGTAGGTATCGGGTCTCATGGCACCGGTAGCGACGAATGGCTTGGAGCAGTTGAGGGTCAGGTCGACGCCAAAGGCTGTCTCCTCGAGGGTGTTGGTTCCGTGGAACATGATGCCACCTGCGATGTCTGAGCCCTCGGTGCAGAGATGACGGTTGGCATGCTGTGTGATGTTGAGGTAGAGTGAGCTGTTGAGACCGGCACTTCCTCCTGTGACTGGGAAAGAAACAACAGCCAACTGAGCCACCTTGAGGACCTCAGTGACGTTTCCGATCATGTGGTCAACGGTAACTGGGGGACCGGATCCATAGTTGATGTTGTCGAGCCGGCCGTACTTGGAGGCGGAGAGAATTGTACCGCGAGCGTTGTAGATGACAACCTTGGGCAAAGAAGAATCTGTTGAGACCCAAGTAAGATCCGAGTCAAAAGTAGACTTCTCAGCTTTGGCTTGGGATGCAATGGCACCAAGGCCGATGGCCAACGCTGTGAGGGATTTCGAAGTGAACATCTCGAGCTGGGGGACCGAGAACTGGGTGAGCTTGGATGTAAAGGTCCAGCGCTGATGAGGTCTGATCAGCCACGAGAATATCTGGGCTTGCCATCATCTTTAAATGCTCGATCCTGATGTTCTGGCGGGTCCTACATAGCCCCGGGGACCTCAAGACTCCTATCTTTACGAATCCCATTCTCGTCATTCTTGGAGTTCCCATCTCATCATCGCCGTGCGTGTTGTGGTGAGATGCGGCTCCTATCAGATGTATACACCACTTAGTGGCCGATAGTCTTATCTTGCGAGTGGGGAGCGCCCTGTTTTCCGGCCCAATCCTGCGGGTCAAGCACGCGGCGGAGACCGGACTGGTCACCGAAAAAGGTAACATGCCTTATCTTGCCGGCATTCTTGGCGTCCTCCTTAAATCCGGGGGGACGGAAGCGGGGTGGGGCCGATCGGGTTGTACCGCCTGACCGGGACCACCACACTACACCGTCGCAGCTGTTTGACACGGTAGATTTGGAGTGGATGATGCCGACGAAGATGGGAAACAGTTGGTTTGTGTTGCTTGGCATCAAAGAAAATGCACAATTTCAGTTGTGTGTTGGAAACTAAAGGGAGTAAAGGAAGAATGCAGAGATAAAGGGGGGAAGGCGGTTGGGGGGCGAGAGTGGTTGCAAATGGAGAAGTCGAAGAAATAACAGCATCGTCCGCAGGCTTGTAAGTTAACGGGCATTGGCTATGTTGTTTATCATAGTTGACATACATTCTAGATCTACTGTAATGTTAAATGGGCCTTCTAATGTACTCTATACACATTATCTTGTCATTCATGGGTTGCTAAACCATTTTTAATGATCGTTCATACGCCTCAAAACTTTTCAGGTGTATTTTGAGTCAAAAGGTAGTCAATACGCCTTTTCGAATCATCAATGCACCTTTAAAAATTGTTGCTGAGCCTATTGAAATAGCTTAGGGGCATTTATGTATTGTTTGCATGGTTCAAGATGAAAGTCAGATGTGTTGAAAGAAATTTGAAAGGTATATCGTCTGCCGCTTTCTACACATGAACTATCTTCTATTTTCACATACATGGTTGCATTTGGAGCAGGGTTGTAGGTAACAACAACTTCTATACTGATGATTTATAGCATATTTTCTTTTGGGGTGTTCATCTACATGACTACTGAGCTGTTTCAATTATATAGGTAGTTTCATGCCACTGAGTAAATACCCACCAGGATGTTGTCCAATTTAAACCTTGGGCGAACAGGTGAGATCCATCGTCTAGAGAAGTTTTAATCGGAAAGGAGGATTTGAGGAGGAGAGGAAATTAGCAAAATAGCTAGTACATATTCCTTGCCTATACTGCTGACGGGTCATGCAAACTGCACAAATCAACTTCACTCCATAATCAGTTTCATCGATAGGGGTATCTGTGCCTCACTCCGTCGCCATCCAAATCGAAACAAGGAGAGCAACTCCCATCCAGTAAATATCCAACTCCATTATAGCCCATCGCTTGCCACCTGGTATCATGAACAATAAAAGAAAGCATCAAACTCATTCCCCGTCCCCGACTGCAACCTCTCATCTGGCGTGACGACACCGACTCAATTTCCTTCACCACCCTCACAGACCAACGTGCAGCTTCACCTGCATGAAGCGCATCTATTGAGTCTGCTGGACAGGATAGGTTTGCTGTGCGGGGTACTGCTGCTCAGGCTTGACCTGGCCGAGCTCAGCTTGGCCGGCGGTGCCAGGGGCCGGGCCAGACCCCTCAGGATCAGCCAGGGAGGCACGGATGAAGAAGACCAAGTGCACAATAGAAAGAACCCTGCGGTCCAGAATGTTAGCCAATCAGGTCGGGTTGGTAGGTCCAAATTGGGAGATTTTGTGGCTTTATTGCTTGATTGCACTAGATGCACATCAGTGCGGGGTGGTATCCCCGAATTGCTGACACCCATGTGATGTTGCCGTGAGGCAGTGCGGCGCAGCTACGGGGACGGGGGAAATCCTGCTGTGAATACCGGGACAATCTGATTTTGCTTACCAGATCAAAGCACCGAGACCGGCGCAGGCACCGAGAGCCTGGCCCTCTCTCTTCCACGCAGAGTCGTAGAAACCAAAGTCATACGTGTATGAGAGCCAGAAGGAAGCGGCACTGGCAGACCAGGCCCAGGCGGAGAGCCAAAAGATGATGTGGAGGATGTAACCGACCAGAGCACCGATGCGATAGAAGAAGTGAGGCGCCCAGATCTCAATGGCTGCGGCGCCGCCGTAGACGATGAAGGACCAGATAGCCTGTGATGTGTGAGTATGAGATGAGATATAGGGCTCGACAAGAGGAAGCATACTGTGAAGATGACAAGACCACCGGCGCCAGTTGGGCCACCATATCCTCCAGCATAGCCACCAAAGATTGATACGGCCCAAGCACCGAGAGCGAGTGTGATGAGTGAGAGCACCAAAATCGCGATCTTGATGTAGAGGAGCCAGAGGGGTTGAGGGGGAACGCCCTTTGCAAGGAGACCTTGAGTCGACATGATGTGGGTCTGTTGGTGACTTGGGGTGGTGTCGAGTCTGTACGAAGCTGGTGTTGTTGATATCACACAGTTTGGTTTGGCCTACAGCAACAAACCAGCTGCTCAGAAGTGGGGGAAACACCATCTTTTTATCACTTTGCTTTGGTGTCACACATCTCCTCATTTCGCATTCAAGACCTAATCAGCCAGGCCAGATTCGGCTTGGGGCGGCGGCGGTTGCTCACATGCCACATGCCTGAACGGACAGGGTGTGTCAGTTTCTGCAAGCCCAAGATGCAGTGGCGGCCTCAACAACAGTTCGGCACCCATGTCCACGCCAGGCATGGACTGACACGATGGAAGAATGTACTGAGAAACGGCGCTTGGGGGTGTGTGGTGTGCCGGGGTATGTCGTTGAAACTCGATTCGCTGACGTCGTCGTGCCAAGGCCGATATGTGTGCCCCGAAGGCTGAAGAAAAGGAAACCACTGCGCAGTGAGTGAGACGTCAAATTTCAAGTGCCAAAAAGCAGACGCATAGCAGACTTTGGGTCTACTTTTGGGCCCGCAGTTGGGCTTCCCTTGGGACGACCCTGGGGATTGTCTGCTGGACTGCCGCAACTGGTTAATGAGCTGAAGCTTCAAGTGGTGAGCACTGCCCAATATGGCGGCTTGGAAGGCTCGTGATTCGCCAGAGGATGCACACCAAGCGAGAGACAAGGGGTGTCCCTAACCCGTGTCGCGCCGTGGCTCGGCTTCCGCACTTTTTTTCTCTCTTGCAACTTGGCGCGGGACTACGGCACAAGATCACGCTTCTTGGGGAGGGGTTGTTTGCTTCGCGATGGCAATTTGCTCTTGGATCTTGAGGTTTCTGGGGAAGAATGACACGAGGGTTTGTCGTTAGAGAGCAAAACGCCCCCACAACGCGTCGGCTGCCTCAATCTTGACTACCAGTGCCAAGGCGGGAGTCTTTGCATGATGACGACGGTAGTGAACGGTGTAGTTTGAGGTTTCATTATCGTGGGTCCTGGTCAATATCGCGGAACGACGACAACTGTTGTTGAGCTGGGTGTAACGACCGGTAACGGAAAGGAGCCGCGATAGGCGTTGAGGGCTTCGCTATTATTAGCCGGAACAAGTGTTGGCATTTGCTTCCAGAAGAGTGGATGAATCATCTTGAAAGATGCGGCTGAAGATAGAACGCGAGATGGTGCATTCTTCGGGTTGATCAGCCGTCAATATCGAGTGCCGGGAGACATGTGGATCGCTGATCGAGATGTCTTTTGGAAACTTTGATAGGTGGTCGAAACAGGGTCACAGGACATGGCGAGCCAATGGGTGGAGGAAAGCGCACCAAGAGATTGAGTGCCAAAGTTGCGACTGTAAGCAGCCGCAGTGTTGAACCGTGCCTTCGGTGCAGCCATCATCAGACCCGACGTCAGTCAACTCTGACAGGCTCTGTAACTGGCACCTGTTGTTCTTCGGGTTATAGGTAGCCGTACGCCTTTTCTTTGTCTATTTTCACTCGCAGCGGCATGGCAAATTGTTTAAAACAGACAGTGTAGAAATTCAATAAGCCAAATACTATCAATATGCGAATTCAAACCAATCCCCGACCTTTATCCAAACGCCCAATTCAGACCAGCAATCCCCTATATCTCAAAGCAGCATCACCGTTTAAGGGATAGTGGTAGCAACACAGCTGCCAGCACCCAAACCACTGGCACACAACCGCGTGCACCCAATGCCCAAGTCAGAAACCTTGATGCAATCACCGTTGTTGACTCTGGTGATGAGGTCGCCCTTGCACCCCTCGCCGTCGTTGCGCTGGTAGGCAAACCAGGTGTCGACGCGGGAGTCGGTGCGGATGGACTTGATGTTGTCGGTGAGGGGAGCGTCACCGGTGGAGAAGCCGTTAAAGACCTTTTTGTCGACTTCATTTTGGCTAGAGGAAGTGATTAGTTAGGCTGTTTTTGGCAAGAGATGACGATAAAGGGAGGAATACCAGTTCTCGTCGTCAAACATCTTGGTCGCAGCACCGAAGGCGGTGGAGGCGAGGGAAGCGATGAAGAGGATGGTGGTGGTGGCACGCATTTTGAAAGATGGCAAGATTGATTATTTGTGTGAGTGTTTTGAAAGTGTTGTTTGCTGTTGTTGTAGTGTTGCTGTTGTAGTTGTTGATGCCGATGAATAGTTTCTTTCAAGTGAGCGAAATCTGTCTGATTTATACTCTTTCGATCACATCCACCTCACTGCTAAAAGCCCAAGTTCTCCTACGGTATTCTCATGATGAGTTCATCCCCAGGATCTCAAACAGGTCTTGGCCATCTCACCGGTCCAATTCTCTTCTCATCAAGGCGCCTCTGCTTTTTCGCCTAGTTTCGACTTGATGATGACCTTCCTGGGTTGATCGCCCCCTTGCCGCACGATACCCGCAGACCCGGCCGATCCTAAGCCGACTTCTCCGGCCCTTAGGCAGCGGAAACATTCCATAATCATGATGACGGTCGTCGGGGAAAATCATGGGATCGAACTCGGCCGAGAAATAAGGTTAAGGGATGGCCCGGATGGTGGCAGCCGTCATGGCGTCCTGGGTTGCTGGCCTCGTTGACGTTTCACGGCCTAAACATGGAGGCGTAGCTTACTGTACTGACTCATCAGCTCTTGTTCAGTGGCATGTTCAATGGCTGACAAAATCCGACGGTGATTTGATTGATGGGGCACAGCGGTCGGCTGGCCTCTGCGGCGGGTCGATAGGGGTCATGGCCAAGGCGGACAGCGCCGCAGTTGTTTACGACTTTGAGATGGTTACGATGATGTCATATCATTGGATGATGAATTTCAGATGAAACTGAGCAGATAGAAAGCATACCTATATACCACCTATCTGCACATGCTATCAGCGAAGTAGCTAGCCATTGTGTGTAGACAGCGCAACGGTCAAGGAGCCGCGAGCAACCTGGTCTGACCAGTTGGGGTTGTGTGGGCCGGACTCGACCCTTCGCTTCAGGTAGTTGGTTCAAACCCATGACGGTTGCTTCTTTGCGACTTGGTCAACACTTGCCACAGCTTTATGGAACAGAATTTCCTACAATTGTTCCTGTGATGACTTAAACGGGAAAAACTGTCATCATATTCGTTACAAGATCTTCTAAACGCCAACACGCTTGCTGTTCTCTTTCTAAATTCCTGGAATAATCAAAATGTCGTGAAATCACTTCCTCTCATGAACCAACCTCCCCCTCACCCACACCTTCTTTGTATTCCTATCATCACCATTATACACCCACTTCGCAATCTTCTCCTCCCAACTCTCCCATCCAAACACATCGACATTTCCCTCCTCCTCCTCCTCTTCATCCACCTCATGAAGTCCCACAAGCTGAGCATCCCACTCCATCCCCACCTCCAACCCACCAATCTTGTCCTCCATCCCCACAACCTTCGCCCCTCCCCTCGTAGCCAGGTACAAAACCTCCTCCACGCTCAACTTATCCCTCTCTTCCGACTTCCCCTCATCCATACAAATATGCCTGCTCACCAAAACCGCATGCCTCGCCGCCTCGAGCACACTAGGCGAGTACCCCCCGCTCATATCCGTCCCCAGCCCAACCTCGATCCCCTTATCCAACAACCACCTCACCCTCGCCGCTCCAGAGGTAATCGCCGAGTTGGAGCAAGGGCAATGGCTGACTTTGCTCTTCCTCTCCGTGACCAAATCCGCTTCTTTTTCTGTCAGGTGCACCGCATGCGCCAGGATCGTTCTTGGCGTCAGCAGCCCAAACGTGTCGTACACCTCTGCGTAGCTATCCCCTGCGTCTGGGAAGAGACTCGCCACGAGGGCTATCTCGTTTTTGTTTTCACTGATGTGCGTCTGAACAGGGAGGTCGGTTTCTTTTGCTAGTTGGCCTAGCTCCTTCATCAGGGGGGCCGAACAAGCGGGTGCGAAACGGGGGGTGATGATGGGGGTGATTAGCTCCATCTTGGGGTCTTTGGACAAGACGTGATCGATGCACTGCTTTGTTTTGGCGAGGGATTCCGCTGGGAATTCGTCGAGGTAGTAGGATGGGCCGAGCTGATCCATGCATACTCTCCCGATCAGGGCGCGCTGGCCGGAGGAGAGGCACAAATCTGCCAGGAGATTGGTGGCGGGGACGTCAATGGTGGCATAGTACGCTGCAGTGGTTGTGCCGTGAGAAAGTGTCTTGCGGATGACACGGGAGTAGACCTTTTGGGCTTTTGGGAGCGAGGATAAAGACGCCTCCAAGGGGAAAGTGTAAGTGTTCAACCAGTCCAGGAGGGTCGAGTTGCCAAAGAGGCCAACGTTGGGATACTGCGAGGCGTGGAGGTGGGTGTCGATGAAGCCGGGGAAAAAGAACTGGCCGGCTTTGGCGACAACCATGTCGGTATCATCAGAGGGCCAGTTCAGCTGGGGGAGGAGTGTGCTTTTGGCCTTGGCGATGTCGGTGTCCGGGGAGACAGCGACAATGGTGCCGAGACTGTCGACTGCTACGGCGGCATTGTGAAGATACTCGAGTTCGCTCAGAGTCTTGGAGTGGATGAAAGTGCCAAGGAAGATCTTGTTCTTCGCTGGTGGCCTTGTCTCGCTCACGGCAGCGGTGGGGAAGCCGATATCCCCCATTTTGATGATGTGATAGTCTTGGAGATGACAAACGGCTTGTAAGTTTTGTCAGAAGTAAGATCCAATCGTGAACAAGGAGGTTGGTTGTACTGTGTTCCGGCCGTGCCTGGTCGGTCTTTGCTTATCAGTCCAACACTCCGTCCGTCGTATCTCCAATTTATCTGGATCGAGATAAGTGTCGCAAAAGTCACCAAAAAGCCCAAAAGATCAAGTCAGGAAACAAAATAAACAGGAAGACCGTTTCTTATCTATTTCTGCCAGGTTTCAGAGGTGAACAACAAAGTCGATGACAACCCGCGCTTGGCAGCGCCAGCGGATATCCCCCGCCGAGAGTGGAGTTCGGCTCTCTGCGCCCCCGAACGCGGGTCGCCGCCTGCGGGGGTCACGGGTGCCGGCGTTGCCCGACCAGGCCGAGAGCAAGCACTCTTGGCAGCCGATCCGAACCGACACAGCCCGCCATCACGCTAGAACAACAAAGGAAGGACGCAACTTTTTAAAGCTTCGCTCGCTGATGAAACGATGAAACCGACAGTTTGGTCAACACTAGAACATGTGCCTGGGTGGCACCGTCATTGCCCCTGGTTTGACAGGTGTCACGTCACACTGGATGAACTCGTTCGGCAGTTGACCTGATAATAAAAAAAAAGCTTAAAACATAACCTAGTAATAAGATGCCAACATAAACGCCCTCAAAATCTACGCAGACAAATCCCATGCGCGCGCTCTATGGCGACGTCCCATCCCGAGGCCGTCGATCTAAATCATGATGTACACATCCTTTTCAAGTCCCTAGTTCCCAATTACAACATGTATGTATGATAGATAGTATAGTCCCTTTCGTCTAATCCTTTTCTCGTATTCATCCATGGGCTCAGAGCTGCGCTGTGGCAATGGCGGCCGCGTGGTCATCGGTGTATGTGATGGACACGTTGACGTATCTGATACCAGCCTTCTGAGCGGCTTCTTGAGCATAACCGTGCAGCTACAAGCGAAAAGTTAGCTTATGATCATACCAGACGCAGGATCCGCTTTGCATACCTTGACTGTTGGTGAGCCAGTGCTGTCTGAAACGATCTCAATATCCTTCAGAGCCGCACCCGCTCCTTGTCCCTGGACACGCAGGGCCTTGAAGACGGCCTCCTTGGCACTCCATCGGCCAGCAAACGCCTTCTGAGGCGACCGCCCAGTGGAGGACGAGAAGCAGTACTTCATCTCGGCCTCGGTGAAGTTGCGGTCAAGGAAAGTGTCGCTGTTGGTGTTGATCGACTTGATGTCCTCAATATCCATACCCACCTGAGTGTTGGCCGTCTCAAGTGCCCTCGCGGCCTGCCCAATCATCATCTCCAAAGCTGCCTTGCCGCTCTGAGGAGAAGCAGGCGTGGCAGAAGCAGTCTTCTCAGAAAGCTTCATGAAGTTGGGAGGGAAGATGAGCTGGCCAGTCTTCTTGTCTTCCGTGACGCGAGCATCGGGGTTGAGGAGAACCTGGCTGAGTTGCTCATCGGTATATGGGGGCTTGTCCTTTGCAACGAACAGCGCGTTGTTGATCAGGCCGTTGTGGAAGTACGTGTAGGCCTTCTTCTGGCGAGCCTCAACCCTGGTCTTGTACGAGTTGAAGGTTTGCTGGTCAAGAGTGGCATACAGATACTTGGGGTGGATACCGATAGCCTGAGCACCTTTCTGGCCGAAACCAAAAGAGGTGACCGAGAAAGCCTTGACGCCATCGGTCTGGAGAGTACGGCTGGGGTAGACGATGTGATCAAACTTCTCCATGATGGCGTCGACGTTGTCAGCGTTGCGGTTACCGGGCACGAGACCACTGTTGAGAACCTGCAGGCAGCCGTTCAACATCCAGGCACCGGCAGCACCCTTGGGATGACCTGTGAGATACTTCTGGAAGATACCCATGACGGCATTGCCCTTGGTACGGCCGAGATGCTCGAGCTGTTGGCAAATAACAGAAGACTCGTTCTTGTCGTTGGCCTTGGTGGACGTGCCGTGGAAAGAAGCAACGTCAAGATCGTCGATGGTGAGACCCCAAGTGGCCAGAGCGCCACGCAGGGGAGCGATGCTGGGATCCTGCTTCCAGAAGTTGTTGCCAAAGCTGCGCAACACCTCGCGAGTTTGCCTCTCGGCCTCCTTCTCGATGTGCCTGGCCCGGTCTGCGACATACTCCTCAATCTCACCACGCGACCGACCCTCAGACTTGAGAGCCTCAGCCTCGTCGGCGAGGTATTGGTGCTCGGCTTCCTTATCACCCTGGATTTGGCGAGTGCGCCTCTCGATCTGGCGCCTTCTGTACTTGATGTCCAAAAGTGGGGAGGGGAACTTGCCGGAATGCTCACGGGCGGTGGTGAGAACACCCTGGCCGGGAGCAGGGACGGAGCGTCCGATCTTGTCAGAGGCGGTCGTGGTGAGGGCAAGAATGCCCCAAATGGGAACACCCATGTCGAGAGCGAGCTTGGCAGTCATGATGACCTGGAGACCGGCACCCTGAGCTTCCATGAAGCCGTTTCTAGTCGTGGTGGTGGGTCTGGACATCTCGGCAGGAGTGCGGCCATGGGCCATCTCGTCAACAGAGTTGCTGGTGGCTTTCATGTTGGCGAACTCGTACGAGCCCTCCTCACCAAAGTCATCATAACCACCGACGATGCAGATGCGGGCCTTGCCCTCCATGATGGTCTCATAACCGATGTCGACGGATTCAACAGCAGTAGCGCAAGCACCGACGGGGGTCTTGATGGGGCCAGAAGACGAGAGGAGCAACATGTTCACCCACGCAGCGATGGTGTTGATGAAGGACTCCTGAAGAATGTCGTTCTGGACCGGCTTGTCCTTGTAGCGATCGACGTGCATCTGGCGGAGAGCCGTTGATCCACCAAGACCACCACCAATGCAGTTGCCCACTTCGGACACATGGACATACTTGTAGAACTCGAAAGGATCTGTGATACCGGAGGATAAGAGGGCCTCGGCAGTCGAGACGAGAACGTACAGAGAAACGGGGTCGACTTGGCTGATGATGTCCTCAGGGATGCCGTAGCGCTTGGCGTCCCAGCCAGTTGGGATCTGACCAGCAACGAGACGGTCGAAGCGAAGGGCCTTGGGAATCCAGAGGGATGCCCCCTTCCTCATACGAACAGTGTACTCGCCACTCTCGGGGATCTCAAAGACCTCGACCTTGTCTCCATGCTCGCGCTTGAACTCCTCGGCGGTCTCCTTGGAAGTCTGGAAGGGATCCAGATCCTCCTCAATGACGACCTCCTGGAGGAGCTGCTTCTTGTTGGGGTCATAGCCATCGAACAGCTCGGGCTCGATCAGACGGATACCGGAGTGCTCCAAGATGTACTTTTCGTACTTGGCCTTGATGTCCTTGTCCTCCACAGGCTCGCCAGTCTTGCCATCAACCCAGCCGGAGTATGGCTGGCCCTTGATGGGACCGTTGTGGTTCCTGATGAGACCCATCATCCAGGCCATCTCGATGCAGCCCTCCAGGGAGAACTCGCCGTACGCCTCCATCTCCCATCTAGTCCTCGAGTTGCCCCATGGACCAACCTCGGCGAAACCAGTAATGACGACAACCCTGTCGAGATCGACCATGCCCTTGAGCTTGTCGTTGAGAGGAGCAACCTCGGACTTCCAGTCGGGAAGGGTGGGGAAGTCGTACTTGAGATTGGCGCGAGGCTCGATGACCTTCTTCTTGTAGAGGACCTCAGAGTCTTCACCGTTGACAATCTTGTTCTCGACAGCGGTCTCCTTGGTGACGGCACGACGAATCTCGCTGGTCTCGGTGATGGACTTGCGCTCCTTGGTCATCACCTCGTTCAGGTTGGGAATAAACTGGAGACCACCGTTCAAGTCGGCAAACACGGGCTCATTCTGGCACAAATCGACGACAGTGGGAGACATGAGTCCAAGAAGGTTGAAAGCCATTTCCTGCTGCGAGAAGGTGCGCACGCCAAAGTTTTCGACAGCCTCGGCCACCATGTTGTTACCAGCCATGAGACCAGTGCCACGGGTCCAGCCGATGATGGCACCGCAAATGGTGAGGTAGTTAGCCCAGTCCTCGGCATGCCACCTGTTGAAGAGAGTCTCGAGGCCAAGCTTGGACTCGGAATAGAGACCGTCACTGCCGAACGTGCCGTGGTTGGGAGAAAGGGGAAGAATGACCTGAGCAGGCCGGGTCTCGAAACCACGGGCGGCCTTCTGGGCCTTGACGTTTCCGAGAAGACGGATGAGGTTGGTGAGCATGATGCGGTGAGCAAGCTCAGACTTGGAGTCGATGCCATCGATCTGGCGACCCTGCTCAGAAATGGCGGCAAAAGGAACGATGAAGTCCAAGTCCCAGCCAAGGCCGGTCTTGGGGTCATAGATGTACTCGACAAGGGCGTTGACATCCTGAACGCTGCCCTGGTTGAAGGGAACGACCACGAGCTGAGAGCCGCGCGAGCCATAACGAGCATACATGGACTGGTAATACTCGGTCACTTCACGGGAGAAGCGAGAGGTGGTGACAACAACCTTGGCACCGCCAGTGATGAGGCCCTGGAGAACCTCGGCACCGATGGAGCCAGCTCCAGCACCAGTCATGAGCACATACTTGCCAGCAAATGTGACACCATCCTTGGCGGCTTCCTCCAAGCAGTCAAGGTACAGGCTGGTGAGCTTCTTGCTGTAGTCCCAGCCATGCTGAGTCTTCTTGCGGAGATGGAGGAAGGGAATGGTCTCAGTCTTGCCCTTGGGCTTGGACTTTTTGACGAGACCGGCGGCGGCGCTGGCACCCTTGCCGTTCTCCTTGGGAATGATTTGGCTCTCGTTCATGCCAAGAGAGCGGATGATATCACTGTACAAGCTCTTGATCTCGAGCTGCGATGTCTTAGGAAGCTTGTGCTGCTGCTTGATCAACTTGTAGATCTTGGACAGATCATTCTGAACCTTTGTCCTGCTGCCGTACTCGGAAATCTTGCCACCCTCGGCCATTTGTTGGACATAATGCTCGAGCTTTCTGCAGCTAGCGCGAGGAACCTCCTCATACTTCATGTTGCCGCGAGCATCAACAGTGGTGCGTGGGCCGGTAGGGACCGCAACATCCTTGTACACAGGGTCGGCAGTGAGCACCTCCTTGCAGTTCTCGATGAGCATGGCACCGAGCTCTTTGGCAAGCTGATAGGTCTCTCCACGCTCTGTTGGGCAGTTGTCGATGTGATATTGCATGAACTCGAGGAGAGCTGGGTTAGAACGGTTCATGATCCGGATACTTTTGCCAACAATTTCACGGTCAACAGCCTGCAACCGCCCGAAAATGATGTCGTAGTACATGCTAAGAGCATCTTGACGGGCCCAGTTCCATGACGAATCGTAAACGCGAGCCTTGAGCGGTGTAAAGACGGGCTCAATGCCAGAGGCGTAGAAGTCGCCATGCTCGGCCATCCAAAGATCAATCTGGGCCTGCAAGACCTTGGAAGACTCTTGGGAGGCCTGGAAAGCCTTGTCTCCGGCACGAATGTCCACCTTGAGATATCTCGCAGTGAGCTCCAGCTGTTGCTTGAAAAACGTCTTCTGGTCGCTGGTCAGAGCCTCAATCGCCGCCGGGTCCATCATCATGCCGCCGCCGGAACCGCCGGCTGGGCCAGCAGCCGCAGCGGTGGACAAGCTGATGCCAGCGCTGGCGGCGTACTTCTGGGATACGTCGTCGAGGAAAGCCTTGGCATCAGCCTCGGACCCCAGACGCGCGGCTGGCTCCATAGTGATGGCCAGCAGAAGGACTCCGTCTTGGCGTCCGGAGCCCAAACCCCACCTCGTCTCGAGGTACTTCCTCGCAGTCGTAATGTTGAATCCACCGGGCATCTTTGAAGAAATCAGACGAGCGATAAGACCCTGGGTGGTCTTGCCGAGGTTGCCATCGAAAGTGGCCTGCAACGCAGCACCGAGCTCATCAAGCGGTGTATCTTCGGGCTTTTCGGGTGTCGAGCCAAACTCCTTCCCGAGGTCACCGACGATTTCATTCTGAAGTGTGGATTTACCTGTGTTTCTCGTTGTCAGCAAAACTCCAAAATAAAGGGGTTTTTTTTTCCAGGGGTCGCGAGAACATACCACCAACCAAGTCCTTGATGGCCTTGCCCAATGGAATGTCAGATGCTCCCTTCTTGAGCTTCTGAGCAACCAAAGCCTTCACAATGTCAACGGCCGGCACCGGCGCATCGGGCACCGAGGCAGCAGGGCCAGCACTCGGTGGTGGAGGTGCCGCCGCAACAGCAGCTGGGGCCGCCGCAGCCGCAGCGGGAGCACTGGAAGAGCTTGGCGCGGCTGCTACCGGCTCAGGCTCCTCTTCAACTGGGTCGACATCGTAGTAAATCTCTTTGGCGTCCTTGTTGTAGCAGAGAATTTGTCTTTGAACAGACTTTGCGGCGTCGTAAGCTTCGTACTTGGAGGCGAGCGTCCTCTTGGCCATTACACCAAGGGTATCAGCGGGACCGATTTCCACGATACGCTCGGCAATCTTCTCGGCAAGAAACACATCTTGTGTCTCAATCCATCTGACAGGAGAAGCAAACTGGTAGGCGAGAAGCTCGACAAGGAGCGTGTGGGCGAGCTCCTGCTCAACTTCGGGACGCATCTTGGAGGGGCTGCTGGAACGTAACTTGGGAAGAAAAGAAGCAGAAAGAGAATATCGTAGGGGGTATCTTCTATGAACAAGCGGTGGTCATGAACCGTTCCCAGTGAGACCCGGGGGGGAGAATTGGCGTGATGCTGGTGGTGGTGGTAGATTAGTGGGAGGGTCGATGCCGTCGCCGAGTTGGTGAGGTGGAGGGAGGGGAGGAGGGGCGGGAAAAAGGTTGGACGAACAGGCGAGGGCGTGCCTGAGAAGAAGAGAGATGAAGATTAAGACGGACCCAGCTCGTTCCACGCAAGGGGCTTCGGGGATGCGGAACCCAGACTTTTGACAGAGGGGGGCAACTGGAATGACAAGATAGTCATGAGACCGGGGGCAATAGACAAAAAAATTGGGAGCTACCGCGTCTTCAAGGTGCAACTGTTGAATGAATTTTGGGCTCGGCAGACCCCTGCAAATGGGAGTGCCCCCCCATGCCGCTGGCGCACCTTGCAAGCTGCTTCTCAACCAAACTCTGGACCTAACCTGATTCAGCCTAGCGCACCTCTCACTAGCTACCCCACAGTGTTTGGAGCAGACAGCGACCGAAGTCTCGATACCTCCGCTCGACAGCCGTCACCGCCGAGTTTCACCGCAGCCCAATGTCTCCCGGTAGAGACCAAAAAGCAGAGAGCAAGCAACCAGCAAAAGGACAAGACCCGAGACTCGACGACTGTGCTCCGTGTCCTGGATACTTCGGACACGCCTGTCGGACCGTTTCAGCCTTGAGCCTCATCACTGCATGGCGTCATGATCCCGGAGATCCGGATAGACCTCGGCCGTGTGTGCTCCTCTGCCAGATGCCAATCATGCCTTGCCAGGGCATTGTAAGCCATCAAAGGCTTGTTTATCGTTTATTTGGACCTTGGCTGACACGCTCTGCAAATTTATCAATCTGGTAGTGGTACAGCAGCACCGCATGGTACCTCTGTCTCCGGCATGTAGAGTCCCTGTAGATCTGGAGATATCAGATGGCTACAGATGGTCGCGGCGCAAGCGGAGAAAGCTGTCCGACCAGATCATCATCCCTTGATGCATGTTTGCCATCCACTATTTTGAACCTTTGGGCCCTAAACACGTGGGCTACAATTCAGTTGACATCGGCTCACACACGATCGTGTGGAATGTCGTGGTTGGCCGTGGGGACTGCCCGAACGGAAGAGAATTACAGTCGAGCTTGTCTCCTGGCGTTCCGTTCACACTGAGTCCTTGGGCTGCAAAGAGAGTTTCCACATTCGGACCTACAAAGTAGGTTATTCTCACCTCATGTCTTGATAGTACCTGGTGCGTCCGTCTACTAAAGCACCTTCTCGGCAACGGAACCGGGACTTCCTCTGACACCCGTAATTCAAAAGGATGAGCACATATTCCAGAAAAAGGTGCCGGCCCTGCCTTCAAGATGGCATTGGACCAGTATGTGACTTTGTAGGATGCTGTTCCAAATGTTCCAGTTGATCCGACTGATACGGCAGACCTGCGGCGAGGTGTTGTTATCAACTGGAGATTCCAGACCGGCACTGCCGGCTCCCCGTGGACCTCGACAGGCATCCTCACGGTGGAGCCATGGGAAGCTGAATGAAGAATCTTTGAACCCCCAAAACCTGGAGAAGCACGGAGCCACGGATCTACGTACGGGCACAACGGGATAAAACGCAGGTACGTCGGCGTGCTCGGGGTAAGCACTCGGGGCATGGCCCAATGATGAACAAGATCTGTAAGATGATGCTTGAGATCCCTCCCATATGTCCCGAACTGAAGGAAGGCTCTCGACGCTACACAAAGTCTCGGGTCTAAGAAAAGCCAGGCCTTCCGGAAGAATGGATGCATGGCAAAAGGACCCTCGCCGCTCCGTCCTATCGCTCCGCTATCGAGGGCAGTGATCTGTGTGGGCAGTGGCGGGCTGAAGTTTGCTGGGGTTGGTGGATGGCGGGATACGTCGGGACGTTCGGATGGAGGTATCGATACATGATGGGCAGAAGTGGGACATTGGGGTCGTCGCTGTGACAGGTGGACCAAGTGGGGTTGCCGCTGTGGAACCCTCTGTTCGCGGGTTGGCCGGATCTCAGGCTCGGCAAGGTACAGCGCATTAAGCGGTTGCATAAGCCTCGCCACAAGTACACTGTGCCAGACAGTGCACACAACGAGGGGTCCTGTCGACAGGGGGGATCTGGGTGCGGATGTGTCGTGCCATCCCCAACAAGATCCCAATTTTTTTTTTGGCGAGCGACGAAGCAGCCGCCAGCCGTGGATTCGCAGGGAGACAGCCGAATTGCGTTGGGCCTTTTTACGCGTTGCCATCCCCCAAGGTCGACACCAGTGGAGGGACCACATCCACATCTCCACCCGATCCGGGAACCACGAGGGGCTTCTAAACTGCTGCTGACTGCTGCTTGCTTTCCTCCGGTTGCTGTTCTCCTTCCTTTCCGTCCGCTTCCTTCTCCTGAGATTGATCTTGTGGGCCCGCCACCGCCCTTCCCCGCCATCTCTCGCCGCCCCTCCTCCCTGGGCTGATAATACACTTCCCACCCACTCTCCTGGGCTTGAGAAGACACGAACGAACGAACGAACGATCCAAGGGCAGGTCTATCTTAGGATTCCAGTCCCTCCCTCCTCTCCCACCTGCCATCTCCCATCAGTCCCTGTAAGCCTGCCTCCTATCTTGCAACCTATGGCACCCTCCCCCACCACCCCCCTCGTGCTGTGCCAGTAGTTCGTTTGCTCACCATCCAGTCAGCATTGTCTTCGCTGTTTTCGACGCAGAAAAGCGAATTGTTGCAGGCAGTTTGATTCTTGAACTCTCCCAAATCGTTGTGTTGGTATGTGATCTTTTTTTTTTTTTTTTTTTGGATTTGATCGTCTGGCTGGCTCACCGCCAAATTGGAGACGAGACGAAGGGGGGGGGGGTGCCATTGGCTTGCAACAGAAAGCTAACAAGACCCAGGAGTTCATAAGAGACCAACAAGTCCACTTCTTTATTAGATACGATACCCCTATATCTTTCATAATGTACGGTTCCGGGACCGGCCCTCAGACGGGCGCCGTCACACCTAGATCGTCGGCCTCGCTTCGTCCCCTTACAGTTTCCCACGGCTCTCTCGAGACGGTCTTTTTGATACCCACTGGCCTTCATTACCATGCCTCCGAGCTCAAGACCCGTTTCACTGCCAGCTTACCTGCGCCTACCGACGATTTGGCTCTGGACGATGAACCATCTTCGATCCCGGAGCTGGTGGCTAGATTTATGGGCTTCATTGCCAACGAAGTGGCCGAGGGCGAGGATGATGCACAGGGCTCGTATGAAGAAGTGCTCAAGCTCATTCTTAACGAGTTTGAGAGAGCATTCCTCAGGGGTAACGATGTCCACGCGCTTGTCGCGAACCTGGAGGGCATCGATGCCAAGAAGTTGGAGGTGATCCGCAGCTACTTTGCTGCTAGATCTGCCACAAACAGGGCGATGAAGTCCCACCAGTCTGCTCTTTTCCGTGCTGCCGATGAGGACGCTGCCCGGATCTACAATATATTCGGTGGACAAGGCAACATTGAGGAGTACTTCGATGAGCTCCGGGAGTTGCACACCACCTACCCATCATTCGTCGGCGAGCTCATTTCCAATGCCGCCGAGCTCCTTCAAACACTTTCCAGCCACCCCAGCGCTGAGAAGCTGTACAGCAAGGGTTTGGATATCACCCACTGGCTTCACCACCCCGAATCGACACCAGATCTGGATTACATGGTCTCAGCGCCTGTCAGTTTCCCGCTCATTGGTCTCGTGCAGTTGGCCCATTACGCTGTCACCTGCAAAGTCCTGGGCCTCCACCCCGGTATTCTTCGGGAGAGAGTCACTGGCTCCACTGGTCACTCCCAGGGTATCGTTTTGGCTGCCATTACTGCGGCTTGCGACTCGTGGGAGTCCTTTGAGGAGCTTTCCAAGTCCGCCTTGACCATTCTCTTCTGGATTGGTGCCCGCAGTCAGCAAGCTTTCCCCAAGACGTCTATGACCCCCACCCTGCTCCAGGATGCCGTTGACAACGGAGAGGGTGTGCCCACCCCTATGCTCAGTGTTCGCGATCTGCCCCAAAGCGAGGTTCAGAAGCACATTGACCTCACAAATCAGTATCTGCCAGCCGATCAGCACATCTCTATTGCCCTGATCAACAGCCCCCGAAATGTGGTTGTTGCCGGTCCTCCAAAGTCCCTCTGCGGTCTGAATGCTCAGCTCAGGAAGGTCAAGGCTGCCACCGGCATTGACCAGGCCAAGATCCCCCACACGCAAAGAAAGGTTCGCTTTGTCAACCGCTTCTTGCCTATCACGGCTCCTTTCCACAGCAAGTACTTGGAGGATGCCACGAGCTTGATTGACGAGGATCTCAAGACCGTCAAGATCGACGCCTCGTCACTCGGCTCGGCTGTGTATGACACCAACACTGGAAAGGACATTCGTGACTCTGTCAAGGGCAATGTTGTCCCGGCTTTGGTTCGCATGATCACCAGCGAGGTTGTCAACTGGGAGAAGGCCACCGTTTTCCCGCAAGCCACCCACATCTTGGACTTTGGTCCGGGAGGTATCTCAGGCCTCGGTGTTCTCACCAGCAGAAGCAAGGATGGCACCGGTGTTCGCGTCATCCTGGCTGGCACCGTCAGCGGGACCGTCCCCGAGGTTGGCTACAAGTCTGAGCTCTTCGACCGTGATGAGGAGCACGCTGTCAAGTACGCTGTTGATTGGGTAAAGGCGTATGGGCCTCAGCTCGTCAAGACTTCCAGCGGGCGGACCTATGTCAGCACCAAGATGAGCAGACTGCTTGGTCTCCCGCCACTTCTGGTCGCTGGTATGACCCCTACCACCGTCCCCTGGGACTTCGTGGCCGCCACCATGAACGCTGGGTATCAGATTGAGTTGGCCGGTGGCGGTTACTACAATGCCAAGACTATGACCGCTGCTATCCACAAGATCGAGCAGGCCATTCCTGCCGGTCGCGGTATCACTGTCAACCTCATTTACGTCAACCCCCGTGCTATGGGCTGGCAAATCCCGCTCCTTGGCAGGCTCAGATCCGAGGGTGTTCCCATTGAAGGTTTGACCATCGGTGCCGGTGTTCCCTCCATCGAGGTTGCTCAGGAGTATATTGAGACGCTTGGCTTGAAGCACATCTCGTTCAAGCCAGGTTCCAGTGAGGCCATCCAGGCCGTTATCAACATTGCCAAGGCCAACCCCGACTTCCCTGTCATTCTCCAGTGGACTGGTGGCAGAGGTGGTGGTCATCACTCGTATGAGGATTTCCACGCACCCATCCTTACCATGTACGGCCGTATCCGCCGCCAGGAAAATCTCATCCTGGTTGCTGGCAGCGGTTTCGGTGGTGCTGACGATACCTATCCCTACCTCACCGGTGACTGGTCCACCAAGTATGGCTACCCCCCCATGCCATATGATGGTTGCATGTTCGGCAGCCGCATGATGGTTGCCAAGGAAGCGCACACGAGCAAGGCTGCCAAGCAAGCCATCGTCGATGCCCCAGGTCTTGATGATGCTGCTTGGGAGAACACTTACAAGGGAGCAGCTGGCGGTGTTATCACTGTCATGTCTGAAATGGGTGAGCCCATCCACAAGCTCGCCACCCGCGGTGTTCTCTTCTGGGCCGAGATGGACCAGAAGATTTTCAGCCTCCCCAAGGAGAAGCGCCTCGTCGAGCTCAAGAAACAGAAGGGCTATATCATCAAGAAGCTCAACGAAGACTTCCACAAGGTGTGGTTCGGTCAGAAGAAGGACGGAACCGCTGTGGATCTCGAGGACATGACCTATGGCGAGGTTGTGCGCCGCATGGTTGCCCTCCTCTATGTCGAGGATGAGAAGCGCTGGATCGACCCATCCTATGCCAAGCTCACGGGTGACTTCATCCACCGTCTTGAGGAGCGCTTCACCACTTCTGCTGGCCAGCCATCTCACTTGCAGAGCTATGCCGACCTGGACGAGCCCTTCGCTGCCGTCGAGCGTATCCTGTCGCACTACCCTGATGCTGAGACCCAGCTTATCAACGCCCAAGATGTTCAACACTTCTTGCTCCTGTGCAAGCGTCGTGGCCAGAAGCCTGTCACTTTCGTCCCCACTCTCGACGGCGATTTCGAGTTCTTCTTCAAGAAGGATTCTCTCTGGCAGTCTGAGGACCTTGGTGCCGTCATCGGCAAGGATGTTGGCAGGACCTGCATTCTGCAAGGTCCCATGGCGGCTAAGCACGCCACCAAGGTTGACGAGCCCATCAAGGAGATTCTTGACAACATTCACGAGGGTCACATCAAGGGTCTCACCAAGGACCTCTACGGCGGTGATGCTTCCAAGATTCCCACCGTGGAGTACTTCGGTGGTGATCTCATTGACAAGCCACTTCCGTTGGATATTGACGGCCTCACCATCGCTGTTGACGCCAGCAAGCACACCTACCGCTTGAGCTCATCTCCGGCGACGGAACTCCCTGATGTTGAGTCTTGGATCAACATGCTTGCCGGTACTGAGCGCAACTGGAGATACGCCCTGCTTCGGTCCGAGGTCATTGTTCAGGGGCAAAAGTACCAGACCAACCCGATGAAGAAGATCTTTGCTCCGGCCAGAGGCTTGTTTGTTGAGATCACCAACCCTGATGATCCTGCCAAGACTGTCATCGTGGTCAAGGAGCAGCCTCGCCATAACCGCTATGTCGAGGTTATTGAGGTCAAGCTTGATGGCAAGGATGAGATTGTCGTCAGCTTGATCAAGGATACCACTGCCCTTGGCAAGTCGGTCGCCCTGCCGCTTCGCTTCAAGTACCGCCCTGAAGCTGGGTATGCTCCTATTCACGAGGTTATGGAGAACCGCAACAACCACATCAAGGAGTTCTACTGGCGTGCATGGTTTGGTGATGAGAAGTTTGATCTCGATGCTCCTGTCACCAGCAAGTTCGACGGCGGCAAGACTGTCATCACCAGCGAGGCCATCAACGACTTCGTCCATGCCGTTGGCAACACCGGCGAGGCTTTCGTCGACAGACCCGAGAAGATCATGTACGCCCCCATGGACTTTGCCATTGTCGTTGGCTGGAAGGCTATCACCAAGCCTATCTTCCCTCGCACCATTGACGGTGACCTGCTCAAGCTTGTCCATCTCTCCAATGCCTTCCGCATGATGCCAGGTGCCGAGCCTCTGAAGAAGGGCGATGAGGTCCACACCACCGCCCAGATCAACGCCGTCATCAACCAAGAGTCTGGAAAGATGGTCGAAGTGTGCGGCACCATCACACGTGATGGCCAAGCTGTTATGGAGGTCACTTCTCAGTTCCTGTACCGCGGTGTCTACAACGACTTCGAGAACACTTTCCAGCGCAAGGTCGAGACGCCCATGCAGGTGCACCTCGCTAGCACCAAGGATGTCGCCGTCCTTCGCTCCAAGCAGTGGTTTGTTCTTGACGATGCTAGCCCTGATATCGAGCTCCTTGGACAGACTTTGATCTTCCGTCTGCACAGTTTGGTCAGGTTCAAGAACAGGAACGTCTTCAGCCACGTGGAGACCCGTGGCCAGGTTCTTGTGGAGCTTCCCACCAAGGAGATCATTCAGGTTGCTACCGTCGACTACGAGGCCGGTGAATCCCACGGCAACCCAGTCATTGACTACCTCCAGCGCAACGGATCTTCCATCGAGCAGCCCATCAACTTTGAGAACCCCATTCCTCTCAGCGGCAAGACCCCTCTCCAGCTGCGCGCCCCTGCTTCCAACGAGACTTATGCCCGCGTCTCTGGTGACTACAACCCCATTCACGTCTCTCGCGTCTTTGCCGCTTATGCCAACCTGCCCGGCACCATCACACACGGCATGTACTCCAGCGCTGCCGTCCGCAGCTTGGTTGAGACCTGGGCCGCTGAGAACAAGGTTGGTCGCGTTCGCAGCTTCCACGCTTCTCTTACTGGCATGGTTCTTCCCCATGACGATCTCAATGTCAAGCTGCAGCACGTCGGTATGGTTGCCGGTCGCAAGATCATCAAGGTCGAGGCCAGCAACAAGGAGACGGAGGAGAAGGTCCTTCTCGGCGAGGCCGAGATTGAGCAGCCTGTGACGGCTTATGTCTTCACTGGTCAAGGTTCTCAGGAGCAAGGCATGGGTATGGACTTGTACAACAGCAGTCCTGTTGCCAAGGACGTTTGGGACCGTGCCGACAACTACCTCTTGGATACTTATGGTAAGTGTCACTTTTGCATTTTCGCCTCGCTGTGTGGCATGTTACTAACAGGCTGCAGGCTTTGCCATCTCCAACATCGTCAAGAACAACCCCAAGGAGCTCACCATTCACTTCGGTGGTCCCCGTGGCAAGGCCATCCGTCAAAACTACATGGCCATGACCTTCGAGACAGTTGCCGCCGATGGCTCCGTCAGATCTGAGCGCATTTTCAAGGAGATCGACGAGAAGACCACATCGTACACCTACCGTTCACCAACGGGTCTGCTTTCCGCCACCCAGTTCACACAGCCCGCCCTGACCTTGATGGAGAAGGCAAGTTTCGAGGACATGAAGGCCAAGGGTCTTGTGCCCAGGGATAGCACCTTTGCTGGTCACTCTCTTGGAGAGTACTCTGCTCTGGCTGCTCTCGCAGATGTCATGCCCATCGAGTCTTTGGTCTCTGTCGTCTTCTACCGCGGTCTGACCATGCAAGTCGCTGTCGAGCGTGACGAGCAGGGTCGCTCCAACTACAGCATGTGCGCCGTCAACCCCAGCCGCATCAGCAAGACCTTCAACGAGGAGGCGCTCCGCTTCGTGGTCAGCAACATTGCGGAGAGCACCGGCTGGCTCTTGGAAATCGTCAACTTCAACATCGCCAACATGCAGTATGTGTGCGCCGGTGACCTCCGTGCCCTCGACACCCTCGCTGGCGTTACCAACTACCTCAAGCACATGAAGATCGACATTGAGCAGATGCGCAAGGACTTCCAGCCCGAGATGGTCAAGGAGAAGCTGGTGGAGATCATCCAGGCGTGTGCCAAGGAGACCGAAGCCAAGCCTAAGCCCCTGGAACTCGAGCGTGGGTTCGCCACCATCCCTCTCAAGGGTATCGACGTGCCCTTCCACTCTACTTTCTTGCGGTCTGGTGTCAAGCCCTTCAGGAGTTTCTTGCTCAAGAAGATCAAGCAAACCACCATCGACCCTGCCAAGCTCATTGGCAAGTACATCCCCAACGTGACGGCCAAGCCGTTTGAGTTGACCAAGGAGTACTTTGAGGATGTGTACCGCCTGACCAACTCGCCCAGAATCGGCCACATCCTGGCCAACTGGGAGAAGTACTCTGAGGATGGTGCCGCGGCCCTTCAAGGAGAGGCGTAAATGAATTTAAACTAATGGGTGGATGGGACGATTATGTGAAAAGGAAATGGCAAGGAAAATCGGTTTCTCTATCAAAGCATGGCTGCATGGAACTTTTTCTTTTTCTCATTGTAGATGTTGTACATTTTTTCTTGTACTCTTTGATGAACCCGCACATTTTTGTAATGCGTGTCATGTATGGGCAGGCGGTTTAACGGAGCGTTTTTGGGAATTTGGTTTGGTTTGGTTTTTATCGGTTTTTAGAAGTCATAAGATTTTACAGGAGAGGAGAAATAGAGCCTGTGGGCGGTACAAGCCGTAAAATGTGTTGGCGTTGCGCTGCGTTGCGTTGTTGTGTTGCTATGTGAAGTTATTCGCAACCCCTTGATGGCGAACAACAGCAATAGACAACCTCATGAGGCCCGCCTACAAAAGTCCCAACGGCGGCTTCGAGAAACTGACGTCTCTTTCCCCGCAATGAAATGTCATGAAACTTGGGCTCTTGTGGGCACTCTGGGTGTCAAACAAGCAAAGCCCCTGGGTAAGGGGAAATCGGAAAGGGTGTGTGTACAAAGTGGCGTTTTTCAAGGGTCCCCTTGTTTTGGAAATTTTGGGGATGATGGATGATGGGGTGAGCAGCACAGAAAGGTACAGGTACTTGGTTTGCCGTACAAGTCATCGCGATCGGGAAAACCTTGCGTGGGAGTTGGGGATCTACAACACTACGAAGGCAC